AAAGCGTTGCAACGTTTTTCAATTTTGGGTCATTTTTCACAAATAGATAAAATATTTTAGAGAAGCGAAATGAGTTGAAAAATATAGTTTAGACACAAGTTATTGGTCTAGGCCTACATCAAAAGGAACATAAATGTTGAAAAAATAATTTCAGTCCCGTCTTGTCAAGAAATCAAGAAAACTCTGTGGAGTCACTTTAATTGATCTAAATTGTTTGTAAAAGCGTATTATGAACAGGCTCAATCAAACCGAGCCTGTATCATTTTCAATTTAATTTGTTGTGTTGGACTTTCTTTAGGGATTCTGTGCTTTTTTTTTTAGTTACGTGTATACTTGTTATATTTAAGCTTGTTGAATTTTCTCCAATCTGTAAATGCATGCTTTGTTTTCTTGTTGTGCTCTTCATTTAATGAAACTGTAAACAAAAGTATTGTTATAACTATCTATCCTTTCAAGCTAAAATATTATAAATTTTACCTTTACTTCCATAATTACAGAGAGTTGTTACTATGGCATGGCATTGTATTCATCCCACATACCGGTAATAACACATTATCAAATTATCTTATGACAATACGAAACACGCAGTTCGCACGCATTTTAACATAATTCTAGGGTTATTTATTCTGCTTTAGTCGGTGCTCTGCGGGCATATACGGTAGCTTGCAGTCACCACTACCGGCCATAGTTTCACTTAAACCGTAGCCTGCAACACTTTTACTGTAACTACCCGACATCATGTCAATTTTATATTTCAGCGTTATTTGAGAGATGTTGAAAGCAAGCCAACGGCGTTGGATAAAAATGTAAGTACAATGACAAGACGGATGTGAAAAGAATAGAATATCACTGGCTTATATAGAGAATTGGAGATATCCTATCCCCGAGGATCCGTAATATAAGAGTCTTTGCGAGTGTTCGGATATTTTAATCCTCTATGCCAGTGGTTGGATATCTTCTAACAAAACATTTAAACATTATAAATACTAATTAAATTCATTTATCAAGAACAACGTTATTATTACAAACACAATTATATTTTCCTGTAAGTGTGAACAAAAAATCTTTCAAATCTTACATTTTGTAATATTTAGTAACAACCGATACGAATATATTTCACCCAAGCTGTTCGTGCGACTGTTATTTGGTCTCCCCTAAGCATTAATCTGGTTATAAATGTTTCGACTCCGTAGGCACTATAAACACTAACTTTCAATACATTCATTCATGTTGTTTATAGCGGAGTAAATATCGCGTGTGTTTATGAAAACGTAAAGAAAAGTGAGATAAGCCCATGTGACAACACTTAAATTTTTAGTAACATTGACGGGTTGGTCTATCCGGATAGAGAATAATGGAATCCGCTGCAGGAAACCGTATAGGGATCTTATCTAATGACAATGGTACCGACAAAGTCGTGTACGTCTGACTTGTGATATGAATAATAATCGACCTAAAATTAATGGAATTGATTATTTCCCGACCAATAACGATGTCTGCAAATACCAGAATACCAACGACTACATAAATGTAAAATGAAGATTGTATTGTTGAGCATGAGCAGATTGGTGTGGAGGAGGTGTATTACAATGGTATTATGGTAATTAACCATAAGCAATGATCCATTGCTCTGACTCAAGGTAATTTGGTCGCACAAAGTTAAAGTAATGAATTGTTTACACCATTACTCGTTCCACTGTTTAAACGGCGAGACAATAATCGCCATTTGACGTTCAAACGCGACAATGCACGTGAACACATGAGTAGTCCCGATATAAACCACATCGAGTACGTGTGGAATGAGCCCAGACAGAGACTTCAATCTAATATGTCATTAGTGTCCGTGATGCTTGAAGTAACTGAAAATAAATATATCATAAACATAGAATATTTTAAACTCTGTTCCATCCTGCCTTTGTTCTCATGTTGCAAAGATATATTTCTGTATCGGAATCAAATAGTAATGATAAACTACTAACAAAATACAGCGACATACTATTTTTGTGTCAAATCACAGTAAAACTAAAAGTGCTTTTCTAAATCAACTTCAGTCAAGAGTGGTTAAGGTCGTTCACATAAAACTACATGTCTCTCATCGCTGTAAGTCCCAGTTGCGCTACCGTTTTTTAATTCTTCATGTGAGAATGTTATCCAGCTAGCTTACGGAACCTCGGTGGTTCTACTCGTTTGTGCCAAAAATAATGTACAGAAGGGCAACTGAGTTCTTAAAGTCGCCGTATGACGTTAAAGATGCGATGTTAAACGCAACCAAAAAAGGTCACATTTCCAATCCTTAAACATCTTTAAGCTTGACATAATTCTTATTGATGTGTTGTAATTTTGGTTTCCTTTTCTAATTTGGCGGTCCAATTATTCCTTATTGTTAAATGTTTATTCACTCTTTGGATATATTACCTACTTTTAAAATTTGTCTTTTAAAGTCAGTCCATAACTTCCTATACCTTTTCAAAAATCCATTATTTTTGTTCTGCCATCTTTTTCTCGTTAAGGCCTCGCATATTCCTTCACTTGGGACGATAACCTGCTTTTAATGAAAAAGCTCGATAGTGTCACATTGAAATTGCAACTTATACAATTGTATGGACACGAATAGACACGTATATTTGTCAAGCCTAACAAAATCGGCATTTTGTCCTAACAAAATGTAACAACAATGTGGTAAAAGGGAAAGCAATGTAATGGCATCAAAGGGTCGACAGTCAGATATCGATTGCAGTTCTTTATCTTTTTGAAAACATTGTATACGGTGCTTCCTGGTCAATATGTATTGTGATGCGTTTGTATGATTTAACATTTGAATGTTAGAAAATTGCCGTTATACTGGAAACATTACATTTCTGCCAACATCCTACTTTTGTAATTACTTATTCGCCCAATAAAATAAAATTTATGATTTTTCTTTGAACTTATATAAAATCTAAAATAGTACATATTAAAGATTCTACGAGTGTTTATTTCCTTCATACAAATATCAACTACAACTGACCTTGTACTCCCTGTCCCTTATATTGATAAGACATAAGACTGGCCCTCACTCTCCCCTGAAATGCTATAACTTAATATTTAGAGGCTTACACTCGGTTGATGTTTGCTATCCCGAAGATGTCCGTAATGGCCTGGGGGTGGCAAGCTAAATGGAATTATGGAATTGAGGTCCTTATTGAATAATGAACTGGCAGCAAACAAGTATAAATGCCTTTAATACCTTTAATACATATGTATAAACTGTAAGACGGCGTTTAGACGTCACCGCTAATATAAGTTGTCGCTCTTTCTGAGAATAAACAAATATCTGTCATTCGGTTTATCAAATAGCTATATAAACCTAAAATATAGAAGTTGTAAATGATTTTAATTATATCTAGGTGTAACATTTAATTATAAAAGCAATTTCAACTTCAATACTGAAACTTTATATGGTAAAGGTTTTAAAAGCCCTAAATAATTTAGTGGCAGGGAGAACAAAATATAAAACAAAACCAAAAATAACCTTACAGTTGGTTTGACTCTTTTATTGTTTCTATTTTAATGTATGCACGTGAAGTATGGGATGTTTTATAAGTCAAAAAAATTAGAAAATATTTATTTGAAGTTTTGTAAAAATATTCTCGGAGTTAGAAACTGTACTAGTAACGTAGTTGTGTACGGAGGACTTGGAAGATATCCGCTGTAATATAGCAGATATGTCCGAATTATAAAATGTAAGTTTAAGAAGTTTAAGTTTAAGATAATAAGTTTAAGTAATAGTATTAAAAATTCAATTGTTAATTAATGCATGTGTGATATAAGTATAGGGTATACACAACCTGGTTTGCAAATGTACGTAGTCTTTTGGAAAAGTACGTTTTTTGGAGGAATAGGCGTTTATCAAAATTATCTTATTGTTGTTTTTATACAGAGATTAATAGATGAATATTTACAAGAATGTAGAGTTAGTATAAATCCTAATGGTGTATTAATTTTTTATAAATAGGTAAAGGACAGTTTTGGAAGAATGACATTCTATTTAGAAATTACTGTATCAAGAAGACTAAGCATAGCTTTGACAAAACAGCTTATTTCAGCTCATATTCTTAGAATACAGATAGGTAGAAGATATTCACGTGAAAGAGTAGATGAATATTTAATTGTTTAATTTGCAATACAAATGAAATTGGGGATAAGTTCCATATTGTGTTTAAATGTCCCGCATATGAAAATTTAAGGAATATATATATTAAGAATTATTATAGAAATATACCAAGTATGTTAAAGTTTGTTCAATTATTACGAAGTGATAAAAATAAAGAAACAATAATGCTTTGTCAAGATATAACTACAAATTACACTACAAGATAATAAATGTTTAGGTCTTATGTATTATCATGTATGAAATTAAACCTACTTTTATGTATACCATACAGGGTCAAATTAACGAAAAGTTTTTACTGTGTATAGGGAACTGTATATTAGCCATCATGTTTTTTTTTATTCTTGTCATTTATATTAAGTTTCGTCCATCCAATATACCATGTTAACTTTTATGATTGTCATTTAACTTTTTATGCCATTATATATGTATGCTTGTAAATATGCTAATCACAAGACACTTGAAGCTTAAGTGGTAAATTAACTTTCTTTTTCTTCTCTTTCTTTATCTATAATTTCAATAATAAATTTTGTTTACAAGTGACTGCAGCTCATTGAACGGCAGCAGACATCTTGAAAGTCATTCGTTTACGTTATTTTGCATGTGCAATCATTCACTCCACCATTATGGAAAAATGTTGCCGAATAGCTGGGGCGGCCAAAATTGTATTATTAGCTAGATCTTAATGGATAATAATGGATTTAAAAAACCCTTAATTTCGTTACTGTATATAGTGACATAAATGCTAACCGATTCATACTTTCAATACCAAGAAGTTCTATCTCGTCATAAGAAGTATCATCTTTAAAATCGTTTGATTGGATAAAAACTAAACATTTCTTTGACATTTCTACAAGTTCAAGTTCAACAAGCAACAACAAAACTTTATATAAAATAGTTTTAATGAGACAATTTCAGATAAACATTTTAATAAAGATTTTCTATAAATGCAGAAAAAAACAACCTTTTGACAATACCAGTATTTCTGGTGAAAATGAATAGAAAATTACCATGTTTTTTTCATCTCTTTTCTTATCAAAAACAATAAAGATATGTATTTGTATGGTTTTGTTTAAAAAATTATCAGTTGACGTTTTGGTCAAATACTAGTCCTAACTCAGGTGACAAAATGTTGCATAAAGCATACTTGTGTTTCGAATAAGTACAGTTAAGTTTAATACACGCAATTATCATCAGAAACCTAAAACATTCAATCAAAATCAACTATCACAATAATAACTTGTCGGTGATGCATGAAATTGAGTAATTGTTTGCCCCTCTCTTCTAATATATGAGCAATGGCAATGCCGTCGTGTAAATATTGTCGCGGGAAAACATATATCGCAATTTGCGTTCCATAAAGTTTTGCTTTAATAACATACGTAAAATGTAAAAAAAATGAAAGAGACTATTTACTCATCAAGACTGTGTGAAAGTATTCTACAGTTACTGTAATACAGAAAAAGAACCATTTAGTTTGCAATTTCCAATGTCTGTGTCTGTGCCCTAGATTTATTTACATAAATTGTTTTCAAATAACATTATAGGTTACCATTACATTGTACATTTAACTATATTATGTCACCCTTAAAATATGCCAGCGTTTTCCTCTTCGCAGTCTGGACAATCGAATCAAATTATTATTGTAACTTTTCTAAAATGATTCTATCTTAAATGTTATTACATCTCATCACTTACAAAAATCTATAAATAGAATCACGCATATATGTTCATCATCGACTTGATCGTTGTATAAATGTGTGATATGTGATTGATTGTTTACCCTGAATGTGCATCTCTGGTTTCACAACTTTTCTATAAACTGACCAAGTCACTTTACCGGGTAATTGATATGTAACTGTTTATTCCCAATGACTACTAACGTTGTCGTTTAATTATATCACTTTTAACTATAAAGGCATATTTTATTGATCAGTCATGGGTTTACCAACAGTAAGCAAACCCATTTAAAAACTTCATTTTCAATAATTTTATAAACTGTTACTATCTGAAAACATCGGCTCTTTACACAACAGCAAAATCAACAGGCCTGGAGATCAACACCTCTAAAACCAAGTCCTTAAGAATAAATACCCAGAACAACTCTGCCATCACACTAGACAATCAATCCATCGAAGACGTCAACCAGTTAACATATCTGGGAAGTATCGTTTCTAAGAATGGAGGAGCTGACAATGATATTAAATCGAGACTTGGGAAAGCCAGGCATGCCTTTGTGACCCTCAGACCGTTATGGAAAAACAAGAACATTAGACAAAAGACCAAACTGAGAATCTTTGACACCAATGTCAAATCAGAAACCTGGAAGCAAACCAAGAAAAACGACATGCAGGTTTTCATCAACAAATGCCTCCGACAGATCCTACAAATCAGATGGCCAAACAAGATCAGCAATTTAGAACTGTGAAATAGAACAGGCCAGTCATCTATTACAAGCACCATCAAGAAACGTAAATGGCATTGGATAGGACACATTCTGAGGCGACCCCAACACAACATCATTAGGCAAGATCTGGATTGGAATCCTCAAGGTAAAAGAAGAAGAGGTAGACCAACAACCACCTGGAGACGAACAATAGAAGCTGAGCTGCAATATCACCTGGGCAGAAGCAAAAAGAGCAGCAATGTTTAATTCACCACTTTAACTGTTTCAAAACACGCGAAAATATCATGTGTCTGGTTAATGAACGTTTTTGCAAAAGCTAAAGCAATTGTAATCTCCAAAATATATTCTAGGTTCCTTATTGTATCATAACCAACATGCTTCTAGTATTACAGGAAGAGGACCATTAGTTCATACACAATTTTACATAAAGATAAAGCCATTAAATCTTCATATTTACCAAGAATATGACTATAAATGAAATCATGTATTCATTAACAAATACATAAAGAAACATTTGAAAAACTAAACAAGCACAAGAAGAAACAATAAAAGTATAAAAGTTCAATATACATAACACATTTGAAAGAAAATAATGTAACGTATAAACGGTATGGTGTAGTATTACTTGTTAAGGTACTAAAGGAACCAGCCTTCTTTGAAACACTACACCATACCATCCCATCATGTCTTACGTAAATAAAACAATAAAAATCCCTTGCAGTATATATTATCAGTTGAATCATAGCTGTATATTGCCGAAACAGTTAAAGTGTCAAATATGTCTTTAACTGTTACAGTAGAAAAGGCAAGAAAAAAGCCAACTTTGTTACTCTATGCCGATTGTTGATATCACCAAAAAAAACTCTTTTATTGACAAAACGTCCAACATCTTTGAAATAACGGATAATTTTCAATAAGGGGTTTTAACACGCGCGTCAAGTCTGCAATATCGTTCAATACAATAAGTTTGATCATAAGCGTATATTTATTTATTAAGTCAGTTAAGCTTTAAATAATTTTAAGGTAGATAAACTATCAAGTCACAGCTTTGTATGGATATTTAAAGTTATCATAAACATAAACTGTAACAGTTGATAGATATATTCTTTTTCAACATATTCACTAAATATTTCAATAACTCATAAGTTCATATTATCTCCAATAAAATATCAAAATCGAAACTAGGAAGTAGAAGGGAAGTAATGCAGTTAAAAATTATTGTAAATTAACTGTATTTGCTACGTGTCATAAAAGAAACCACATAAATTATAAACCATTTAAGGTTCATATCTTACAAACATTTTACGGCTCTTGTTCTAACACAAACAAATTGAAACAATAGACTTTAAATGCAAGCTTTTAACTGTTTTTAGTAAAATCAGGATTAGAACAATGAACAAAAAAAGACAAACACGACATCAATTGACTTGAACCTGATGTTAACATGTTTATATATAAATATGTACAACCAACATTATCACAAATATTGAAAGACTAGAATTTACGAATTTTTGATGAGGCACCAAGTAATAACAGAAAACAATAGTAGAAAAATACTTCAAAGAATGACAATATTTATACAACATTTATGCGGGTTTTTGCATGAAACTTTCATATCATTACAATGCTTAATGAATCTGGAGTCGTAAGAATCGTTTTAAGAATGACAATACATGTAATTCTATTTTACAATATGATCACCAAGTCTTGATATGTCATGGTGAAAATATGATCATCAAATCATTTGATATATCAAGGTAACAATACGATTATCAAATCATCTGGCATATCATAGTTACAATATGATCATCAAATTTGATATGTCATGGTTACAATATGATCATCAAATCAGATGGTATATCATGGTTAAATTACGATCATCAAATCATTTGGCATATCATAGTCACACTATGATCATCAAATTTGATATGCCATGGTAACAATCTGGTCATCAAAACATTTGATATATCATATTTACAATACGATCATCAAATTTGATATGTCATGGTTAAAATATCATCATCAAATAATTTTTTAGTATCATCATAGTTACAATATGGTCATCAAATCATTTGGTATATCATGGTTACAATACGATCATCAAATCATTTGATGTATTATGGTTCATATCTTTCATGGTTAACTTGTAATAAACATCAATGTGTGACAATTGATACCAAAACTCTATAAAAACAAAATAAGTCTAATTAAATATACTGAAAAAAAATTTACTTTCAAGCAAGTAAAAATATGAAAACAAACGAACAATTCAATTGCTTTACATCTTTTAAGTTATTCCTTTTGGTTTCCTACTGGTTAGTGTTTTTAACTTCAAAATATGTCCTGAACAATTGTGTTTTTAATAAAAAAAACAATGTATTGAAAGTTTAATGAACCTCTTAACAGTATTACTGTAAGTAAATAAATATCCGTATGTAAAAAAAACAAACAAAAAAAAAACATATTTATCTACATACAAAAATATATAATCATTTTAATTTACAAATAATGTGTCATAACGTAAGTCACAGATTCTCTTTTTTCTATTTTTTTTTAAGATTGCCATTTTACGCGCAGAAATAAGGTATGGTTATTTTTTCACTTTAGGACTCATTACGACTGTTTTGTTTTTATTTCTATGTGAACCCGCATAATATTTAATATCTAAAGAACACACAATATTGTGCAAATTTTACAACTTACATAATTTATCAAAAAAAGATCTTTAACACACCTTAAAATAACCTTCAGAAAAAAGATAAACACCTTAAAATAATATTCAAAAGAAATATAACAACAATGTAATAAGTCAATGTAAAAAGTAAAAACAATGTATATAAAAACGACAAAACAATCACTTAAAGGATAACAAGAAAATATATAACCCAAAACATCAGTATCAAAATTCAAAATCGTATCTATTCAAATGCAGGATTATCGACACCACCATTTTTATCAGATCCCAGGTGGTTTTGTTGAACTATTTCATCCTCACTTTTATCAATAGAATCTCCAGCGTCCTCTTCATCGTCAAGGGTCGGATCCTCGTCCAGGGCTCCCTCGGATGGTGTTCTAGCATTGCGGAACGAGTCTGCCCTCCTCATTTTCTGGGCCAAAAGTTTGTCTCGAACACTGCTCAAAACCTTCTTATCATAGGCACCATTACTGGGCGTACTTCCAGTGTCAAGGTTTAAACCTATAAAAAATATAATTTATTGTTTTAGCTAACTAGTTGGCAGTGAAGTTTGATAGATAATTAAGTATAACTTGCTTAGAAGTTTACCTATTAACTAAATTTTCTGGACATCCATTAAGTAAATATGCATATTTATTAGGTTTGTTCAGTTTGCACAACGGAAAATATTTTTAAAGAATATAAGTAATTTGATTCATAATTTCAATAAATACATCATGTTAATATATACATATTTAGTTCACTGTTTCCAAAATGTATTGCATACCTAGTGTTCGTAAAATGAAGTATAGTTCATGATTTGATAAAGGTCCATACTTTTAGGTTATCAACACGCATCTTCTGGTGTCTAATTGGCAACATAATTGGTTTATCTCTAATAATTTGGTTTTTAGCATTACTATGTGCTTGGTATGTATATACAATACATTGACGTTCCATAAAATACTTGACTAAATAAGATACATAAAGTAAGATCGTTACTTTAAAAGATTTCGGTAGTGAAATATGTTACTTACTAGATGATATTCTTGAAAGTGATTTATGTAACTCTCCAAACTGCATCTCCCTACTTCTCATAACATTCAACATCTCGTACCGGAAACTTGACAAATCCTGCTTTATCTCCTCAAAGTCGTCTTAAAAAATAAAATGTTTCAATGATTTCACCTGTTTTGACTTCAATTGCTTTCCTTTGTTCCGTTAATACTTTTTGTGTTTGTAAGTGTGTTTATTAGTGGGGAGTGTCGCATATCTTTACTTGGTAAACAATACCATGGTTATTTCAAATTGAGATTCGATGTCTCACAGCAGTAAAGTAGAACGTACATTTAGTATGGTAACGAAGGCTAACATGTTATGTTTGAATATGAACAATGGGTCATTAAGTTGTTGTTTTGTTTATTGTAGCTTTTATCTCCCTTTGAAATAATAAAGTTACTATAGAACACACACTTTGTAAGCGTATCTAGGCCTATATTTTTGGTTTGTTTTGTTATCTAAGAAACAGATAATATTTGAACAGATTGGGTGTGCTCATTCGCATTTAAAGTTTTAAGCCTATGCTTAACACAAATTTTTGTAGGTCCTTACCTTCAGTGACTTCTGCTTCCCTTTGAATATCGAAAATATATCGCTGTATAATTCTTTGCATGACACGCTGTAAATTAAATAGATATATGGGGATAGTTATCAACTTCTTGGAAAACTATTTCTTTCCTTGAATTAATAATACTTATAAAAATTATTGCTTTTAATGCAAAACTAAGTAATCTCGTGTGAGAATTTGTGTTACGTTTTTACATGTTTGATTTGTTTATCGTTTACGGTTCGAAAATGCATACATCACTATCGTTACACCATAAATGATACCGATGTAAGGATGAATTTAAGTAGATTATACATTCTAGATTACTTCAATAGAATCGAACAATTATTTTTTTGATTTCTCCAGTGATGACTATTTATAATGGCAATACCTTTGTAGTAACAGAAACAGAAAAATAAATGTTCAATGTATTTTAATAATATAACGTTACGGGTGTATGTGAAACGGTATTTTCATAACGATATATTCCAAAATGTATATACATTTTACCTGATAACTTTTGCTGCCATCGAGGAACCCCGGTATACTGTTCCTCTGCATGTGACGCCGTCTATTAACTTTTGGCCTGTCAATTAATGCTGGATCGTTCGCTGTTATATTCCCCTCGTATATGTCGACAGCCGACAAGTCAACAGAACTAGACGCCGAGTCATTCCGATGCATTAGTTGACTAGCAATTTGTGTAACGCTTTGTAAAGGTTGCTGAAATTAATAATGCGTTATGAGCTTTAAAATATGCTCCGACTACAGCATTGTCAATGAATATAAAAATCATATGTAAGATCATACAAATAAATATCTTCCGAACGCTGGATTATTTACTTAACTTTCTGACCGTCGTTGGTTATTTAAATATGCCCAAATGCCATCAAGAGAAGTTTTGCAACAGGAAGGAAGTGTAATTATCAGACTGTTATGAATGTAACCAAAAATTAAAGAGACCATATTTGGTGGTCGGTAAATTGAAGTAAAGTAGAGAAAAACGGGAAAATGTTTCATCTCGTTAGTACATTAAATTTGTAGTATCTTCATTGAAAAGTGTAAAATTATATTTTGATAATTTTCACTGTGAAATTATCACGGATAAATCAGTTAACCACAAAAATAAATAGTTATCATGGGGGTTGTTATTTTTTTCAACTGTATTGATTATACATTTACAGTCAAAATTGATCTACATGTACTTACATCGGCACCGTTTCTAGTGACCGGCATGTCATTTAAGGTAGTGCCGTTCATTTCGACAGGAATTTTTAAATTTTCTTCATCTTTGTCCCAGCAATCAAATATCCACTCAAAAATTGCACGTGGTAATCTAACTATATTTAAAGGCACGGGTAACACGTCTTCCTCGGTCATATATTCCATGTACAACTGACTTCGAGCGAATTTCCATTCTACATCTGACGATTCCTTTAATAAATGGGTCTTGTGTAAATAATTTTGTTAAGTCGTTTATAAGGCTATGTGTACATATGGATATAGTTCTGTGCCAAACGTTTTTAGTAAAATATAGAGAATAGGTTTGGTATTTATTACCTATAAATACTATATTTTAATGAATATTGGACATTTTTATTTATTACTTGAGATAAAAAAAGTCGAATATAACGTTAGTATCGAATTGATTGAAACCGAATAAAAATATCTTACTTTGCTATATTAGGAGAGTATTATAGCGAAATTCCTTGTTACAAGACTTTACCGAGATTATTACATTCTAAATAATTATGTAATAAGATGACTTACTGCAATAGCTTGGAATGAACGGGCCATCATAGCTATCAGCATATTAAGTAGAACAGTGACCATCAGGAAGTTGTATAGTCCGTACAAACAGTAGCCAATGTCCTCGGTGACACTATTGTTATAATCTGCAAGTGTCACAACATCCGACTCCCCACGACCAAACACTGACCAGAATATTGTACGGAATGTCTTCACAGTACTGTGATAAAAATACAATCATACGATAATGTAACTACAGGTAGTTTCATATTTCTTTTCTTAAAACAATTCAAATGATATTTATAATATGGTGAGAAATTATTTAATCAAGCTATTCCCCAGAATTATGATTATACACTGTATCTAAACATTAGATTTCATGTAAACCGGACATTACAGAACAACAACAGCAACAAAACATTTAAAAGATGAAAGTGTACATGAATTTCTGCGGTTGTTTTCGTTGAATAGATTTATTTTCAAATCATTTTTTCAAAGTTGTTCTTAAATGTATTCTAGTTAAAGATATATATTTTTGTAAGTACAATGTTCTGGTATTATGTATCACTGACAGCACATCATCATTCACGTTCATATCAAAATATAAATTATCAAACCTATATACTGTACATGTTTATATAATCTTAAAGATATGCATTTTTATATCAAAGATATTACTACTTTTCTCACTTAATGATATAAAGTTAATATACATATTCGAAAAAAAACTTAGATACATTCTTTTCATAGAGTGTGTTTCAAGAACAGAACAAAACATGTATTTTATTAACTCAGGTTACATATAGAACACATGAGTATACATAAAATAGTGGTATATCTTTGTAAATTAGCACATGACATGATTTGTTTCTATATACAGTACAATATTATTTTATTTATTTATAAAGGGGAAACTAATAATTATCTAAGAAAAATATTAAGAAAAAACAATCAACGCGAGGCACTTAGTGTCTACCGACCGAATGGGGTAGATACGCAAACATTTGTATTCGTTCCTAGGTGCAAGAAACGGACTATAGCAATGCGAAGGCGGTAAATACTACGTATTTGCTGTTTACAGACAGGTCTTCATGAGGTCCCGTTAAACAGTGTGTGTATTATTTTATAGGTCAATCAACACACAATAGAGTCTATTTTGAATGACTGTGCACGTTGAAAATTCTATTATATATTCTTAAATAATTAAAGCTACATTAAATAAATTTCATAAAAAAAAAAAACAGAAATAGCGACATTTCATTAATAAATTGGGTTTCATATCGACTCCAGAATTTATTATGGTGTCAAGACAACTAAAATGAGTTTTATAAGCATACATATATGCGACCGCACTGTGGCGAAATCGGAAGTACAATTTCTGTTTGCATAAGAAACTCCGCCTTCAGATTCTCCGTACATCAATATTAAATCAACAAACATGGCGATATAACGGTATATTTCCGCATTGTAACGGATGTTTCCATACAAATTAAATATTTTCATGCGATGATTACTCTTTCCTGAACGCCATGCCAAGTGCATCGTGAAGTTTAAACGGTTAAAGTGTGTTTGCAATGAAAATCTCATATTTGCTGTGACGTAGCACATACACAAACTGATTATAGTCTTCATTTGCATGTTAAAATTCGTATACGAACTTTAGTGTTACCGTGGGGTTTTCTGTTTAAAATCCTAATTTATGAACAATGTTTGATGAGATTTACAACAATACTGTTAAAAAGGTTAATGAAACTGTAGAATGCTTGGTTTTTAGACCGCCGGCAAAATAGTTTTGCATATTTATTTAATGTAGCTTAATAATGGATAAGTGAACGATGGAAGTTGGAAGCAAACAAAAATATTGTTTTTCAAAGAAAAGTTTCTCGAATAGGTCACGTGTTCTGACTACATAAGGTGAGACAGTTCATGGTCTGTTCTAAAAAAATACTGTTCTTGATACATTATTGCAAAGCAAGCAGTTTTTCAGATCTTTGTTTTTTAAGATATTTAGCAGATTTTTAATTAAAAGTCAGGTTTCATTGAATCCCCTGATAAAGCAAATAAGAAATCTGATATGTGCTTAGATTTATAACCTAGCTCTTTACTACGACTTGAGCTATACTCTAGGTACAAATACATATTTAAGTTATTACAAATTTAGGTCCAATGGTCTCCTTTTAAGGGTCATTCCGAATTTAGATAGCGAAAAAATGCGAGTACTTATATATTTATATTAGTTTAAGTAATTGATACTTGTCGTCATATACTGTTTTGCTTTTATGTACATGTTTAAAAAATAACAAATGCCATTATAACATTCACTACTTTCTAAATTCTCTCTGCATAGCCTTTAAAATGACCGGAGGATGGTTAAGTAATTTAATATTATAGTATCGTAAATTTCATGAACCACTGATATAACATAAGACTTATAAATGGGCTTAAATCGTAAAGGAAGTATTTGTGCCAACAAGATATAGTTAACAACTATTCTATCATTTATTTCAAGTAATTTTGCGCAATGAAAATTTTGTTCTGGTAAATTATAAAGCAGCGAAAGCAAATGATTTGAAAGTTATATACACCTACATCAAATGATAAAAACATTTCGAAGAAAAAATATTTCCATTCCCCTTAATCAAAAAGACGCAGTAATTTTTTATGAAATAAAATGTGTGTGCATTTATTTTGTAATTATTCCTGGCAATATAAGCTAACAAAATAAACATACTCTCCAAACGCATCTTGAGCTTTCACTTCAAAGTTCCGCTTCTCAACTTCAATGCTTTCCCGGACATTATAGTACCAGTAAAGGTTTTGTAACCCTATCAGGAACGCTACAACTACTATACTTAGGAGACATAGACACTTGATGATATCCTAAAATACAATATAAATATGAGCCGCGTCACGACAAAACCAATATAGTGCGTTTGCGACCAGCATGGATCAAGACCAGCCTGTGCATCCGCGCAGTCTGATCAGGATCCATGCTGTACGCTATCAGTTTCTTTACTTGTATAAGGGTTGGTAAGCGAACAGCATGGATCCTGATCAGACTGCGCGGATGCGCAGGCTGGTCTGGATTCATGCTGGTCGCAAACCCATTATGTTGGTTTTGTCATGACGCGGAACAATTATAAAAATTAACTTTAATAACATTTACCACACAAACTTATGATATAGCTACGTACCTTTATAATTTCTTTATCAAAGTTAAATTAAATATTTTCAAAATATGTCACGAATGTTATAGAGACATGTCTACGTCCCCGCGAGGGGACATTAATTGAAGATAGATAGAGACGCCTATTGATACTTAATTCAAAAATAATGAATTAGGTATATAACAATGAATTATCGATATTTACGGTACGAAATATCCATAATCATAACATGAAATTTTAACTCGAAGGTATTGCGTTCTTGCTCATTTTTGCATGGAACATAGTTATTAAAGTCTGTTGTAATGAATAGAAAAACACACCGCCAGCATTCTCCCGAGCGATATTTGAAGAGGTCCTAGGGCTTCATTAGCCGGCAGTAGATATGATATCCTTGAAAAACTGATGATGTTTGCGATAGCAAATAATCCCTCCGATAAGTTGATTGGGTCAAACTTGCTCCAGAAATAACGATCTGGTAAAAAATATTGAAATATATCTCATTATATAAAGTTCTACATTCTATATTTAATGTACTCAAAATGAAAATCAAAATAAAAATCAGCTGATGAATTATGCCACAAACGTCATGTATATGTCAGTTGAAATGTACATGAGTTTAATGCATACATGTATTATAAGACAGTCGGCATAAAATTAAGTTGGAATCTCTCTGGACGTTTGTTCATGGTATGACTACGGAAGAGCATTAGTGCATGGTGTATGTATTTTATTAACTCGAAAGTTCGAGTTACTAACTCGAAATTTCGAGTTACTAACTCGAAATTTCGACTTACTAACTCGAAATTTCGAGTTACTCATCTCGAAATTTCGAGTTACTAACTCGAAATTTCGACTTACTAACTCGAAATTTCGACTTAGTAACTCGAAATTTCGACTTACTAACCCGAAATTTCGACTTAGTAACTCGAAATTTCGACTTACTAACTCGAAATTTCGACTTACTTATCTCAAAATTTCGACTTAGTAACTCGAAATTTTGACTTATTAACATTACAAGAATGGCCAAAGTTATTTTAGATGGTATAAGATATAGTAGGCAGTGCCTTTGAACGATGGAGATGGAGAAACGGGTGCCTGGACAAAAACTATTGAAATTTAACTTAAACTTAGTAATGGCATGTACACACCCGACATAAAAAATACAAGGCTTCCTTTAATTTGTACGTTCAGGCGTTCTTCAGACGTTGTATTGTATCCCATCTGTTCGAACATATCTTTTCACTAATCATATTCTTCTCATCCCTAAAAAAAACCGATCCTATACTTTACGTGTGGGACATCTGAGGAAAGTATCGCGGCGTGGCCGAAATAGGGCGTGCTGAGGCCTTTGTCAAAATTGTTGGACTGACTATATTTCTTGTAAAATCGGATGCTAAAATTATATTGTTCCCAACATATATATTATAACAAGTATCACTTTTATCAACTTTTATCAACACAATATGAATCAAAGTATTAGTAAATAATGAATAATGTTACAAAAACATTATAAGTATAAAGAAACGTGACAGACTAACTGGCCTATACACGTCATTTAAAACTTATTTAACACATGATATTGCACAGTTTACAATAGGGTGGGTTTTAGACTTGTTGTTTCTCCATATGATGGTTGTATGTGTGCTTAAGAAAAAGAAACACCCTGTTAACACGGAAATGTGGAAAGTGTGATTTTACATCCCACCCCCGCCCCCGTCCACAAAAAAGCGAAGGCTATGTTCAGTATGTGTGGACAATTTGACCCTATAAAATTGTTCTGTTAAATAAATGTTAAAGGTGCTCTGTCAATGTGCAACAACTACACACGAAAGAAAGTATCTTGAATTCAATCCTTGCTTTCACCGGCAACCAATGAAAGTCGTGCAATGTAAGTCGAAATTTCGAGTTACTAAGTCGAAATTTCGAGATAAGTAACTCGAAATTTCGAGTTAGTAAGTCGAAATTTCGAGTTAGTAAGTCGAAATTTCGAGATAAGTAAGTCGAAATTTCGAGTTAGTAACTCGAAATTTCGAGTTAGTAAGTCGAAATTTCGAGTTAGTAACTCGAAATTTCGAGTTAATAAAAAACATACACCTGGCACTAATGCTCTTCCGTATATGACTGTATAAAACATGATTAAAAAAAACGTTATTATATATTAATTTAAAGCATTAGTTGTCGTTTTACCGGAAACTAACGTCATTTATCGCGCGGCTACTAATAAGTCAGTAAGGCACTACTAAGACAAAAAATAAGCTATTACATCATGTTAAACAGTAATTATACGTAATCTCTAATACCAAGTATAATTATAATTAATACCAAATAACTGCTGATTTAATTTGAATACCGGAATAACTTATCATATCCTGTTTGTTTTTGGTTAATGTTGTTTTTTTACTGTTTTTTGTAGAACAACAACATGAGTTATAAAAAACATTTCAAAGTATGATATACGAATTACGGATTTCAAAATGACATTATGCTCATATGTCATTGTAAAATTGAACTAAATTGACGATATTGTTAAAAAAAATGACTATATTATTATAATGGCGAGTGACCAACAGTTAATATTGCAAAAGAGTTAAAGATAAAATATAAATCTCACTATATATCCTCTGATCGGCATTATGTCACCTTAAAAAATTCATTTGTACATTTAGCATATGTTTACTATTCAAGACATTTTTTTTACTTTTATTTTTATAACGTTTCCTAGTGGGACTGTTCTAGGGAAGCTATATTGTACAATGTTTACCTGCAACAATCCAGTACAGCATATATGTTGAACGATCGTCATTGTTTAGAATGTCTGTTATATTTGTTGACTGGAAATAATCTAGCGACAGGTGAACCTAAATAAGAAAAAAGTAATGTTGCACAATATTTGGTTATAACAACTTTTACATGATCAATTACTTAATTTACACAAAGACTACATTTGTGGGTACTTTGTTGACAAAAGAAAGTAAATTTGTAAATAAAAGCTCATTAATATTAAATATGTAATGAATGAACATATGTACGGACAACTTTGTCCAACTTTTTTTATGCAATGCAATAATCAAATTTTAAGATCGACTTATAACGTTATTTGTGGCATTTGTTAGTTTGATGCTATGATGTCCCCTATCTATGAAATTTAAAAATTAACATGTATGGTCTTCAGAGTATGAAACTAAGCAACATTGACTTGTAAGTTTATATGGGTGCCAGCCTGCATAGCTGAATCGGTTAGAGCGCGATACTTGTAATCTCGACATTGTGGGTTCGATTCTCGGACTGGTCAACTAAAATTACTAATCAGTCTTTCGTATGAGAATTTAAATCGAGGTCCCGTGTCTGAGTGCTTTAACATTTGGCACGGCAGGCGAAAGAACCAGGAGAAGATTCTGGATTTGGGGCATCTTTGTGTATCTGTTTCTTGCACTATCCTCCAAAAATCTAAAATGACTTATACTTTTCTGGAGGACTCGCCCATATGGGCAACCAGAGGCGAGTAGGAACGCATACACACATTATAAGTTTTTATTTTTATGAGGTTTTAAATGAAATAATACTAACTTACATGAATGTTTCTCGTTGTATTGTTTTATATAAACAATGACAAAACAAACATACCTTCAACATGACGAGGTATTTTAAACCGAATGCACACGTATATGTGATCAACATGGCGAAATCTACCATGTTATATAACGACAGACAGTACGCCTTCACTCCATCGTGGTAAATCTGTGTACATTCATGGTACAAAAACCCTGAAACATAAAGTTATATTTTCAGTTTTTTATATTCGCTTTGCATGTAATAATGAGGCTATTATACATTGTTTAGCACAATAATCAACACACAGCTGCGAAACCTATAAATGACAAATGATAGTTGTCTCCCTTTGTATAAAATATTGTAAGATGAACATTATGAAACATATTTGTAGGATGGACTTCGGCCATTGACAAGAGTCATTTCCGCTAGTAATGAAATATACTCGTTTATTAATAATCACCGATGCATTTAATTGCCGACTGCCATTTTTTTTAAATTCATGTTTGACTAATATCGAAATACATGACAATAGACATCCGTGTCATGAATAAATTATATAGGTACGTATGTTTTTAAATCTTAATATCGTAGAGTTAATTTAAATTGCATAAAGATGATTATGTATAAAATATATACAGTAATTTATAAAAATGGCAGTGGTGTGAGAGACAATGATGCATGTCCGTAAAAGAATCAGGGAAAGGTCAAATGTTAGAAAACGGTTATAAGAGCAGAACCTTTTTAATGACATTTAATTGAGTGGAAATATATATCCCGAGATATGGTTATATAATATAGGTAACCTTTGCTTGTGTGACGCTTCATACTTGTCATAAGATATTGATTATATTTGAGCCGCGTCACGACAAAATCAACATAATGGGTTTGCGACCAGCATGGATCCAGACCAGCCTGCGCATCCGCGCAGTCTGATCAGGATCCATGCTTTTCTTTTACCAACTCTATTACAAGTAGAGAAACTGAAACCGAAAAAGAATGGATCCTAATAAGACTGCGCGGATTCGCAGGCTGGTCTTGATCCATGCTGGTCGCAAACCCATTATGTTGGTTTTGCCTTGACGCGGCTCATTTTATATTTCTACCTTTCATTAATCATTTACATATTTTATCAAAGAATGTTAATAGTGTAATGCATGTCTCGTGAGAGCACGATCAAACAATTATCATAACAATACGATCAGATCTATCAACATTTTAATATGTTATTATACCGATATTTATTTCAGAATTTCTACGAAAACGAACGATTCCTTTATGACTATATATCACTAGTAGGCATGATCACGTGATTTCATATGACGGTTACCATGGACACGTGAGCTTACCTACAACCCAGATTGAAATCAATAGTTGTGTTGTGGTAGGAACCATTTGTCGTATAGGAATATCATTTCCATAAGAGTAGCTACTGGGAGATCTGTTCTTCATCTCCTGGTATTTTTCAAACAGTTGAGGGTAGTCAGAGCCTGCAATTATACATGTTTGTTACATCTTGAGGCTATGTTATACAATAATATGCTACATATAGATGTTAATTGAAAGGCAGAGCTAAGACATTACACATAATTGCAATGAAACATTTCGTCAGCAAATCCCATGTCAAAATGTTAGTCACGTTTGCTAAAGCAAATAACAATGATCATAAATAAATAAATAAATAAATAAATAAATAAATAAATAAATAAAAGTTATTTTTATTTAGATGATAAAAGTTATACATTTATATGATAAAGATTTTTAACGACGAAAGTACATTTTGTTAAAATAGCAATGTCATCATTTTTATCCATCTCAAATAGGTTCTTAGATAAACGTCAAAATAAATGTATACATCTTACAGCAGATTTATTTCCATCGGAATAAAAGCTGCTATGCTAATTAGGCAAGAAGTTTGTTTCCTGTATTAAAACAAACATAATATATGGCCTATATGCTTTAGGTTAAAGAAAGTATATGTTCTTATGTTAACAACGTGTTATTAACATAAAGACAGGGTTTAATACATAATTATTCAATTGCAACATTTGAAAATGAAAGTTACAGTATACATGTTACAATTTAGAAAGGTCTACACATTTCTTTACATTCATAAATTCAGAATTTCATACACATTATCAACAATAGAAAATCAGATTAGAAGGACCTTTATGTACATGCACTTTTCATACAAAGTCAGACGAGATATTTTCGTCCCGAAGAGGTGATCTGGTCAAATACAAGAAATAAATATAATTTACTTAGCGTGCTGTTTTTGCGGAGGATATATGTGTCCTCACTCGTTGAGATGACACTCATTAGCAGAAATGCGACAAAAGATGCTGAGTGCACTGTGAACTTTATCCATGGGAATTGTAGAACTTTTAAAACCTGTGAATGGAAATTAACATACTAACATACCAGAATTGTTACATGTTATTTTCCGAACTTATAAAACCCGGAAACAATTTAATCAACGCAAGATAAGAAACGTGTACATATAAGGGTCTCTAAGTAAAGTTGTATTATTTACAGATCAGACTATTTTCTTATCAAAGATTAAATACATCATAATGAAAACGAAGACAATCATACATGTACATTACTAACATTAACGAGATTTAACGCTACATTTGAAATAAGCTTTAAGATGCATCAATAATGAATGTAATAAACCGTCATAAAATAATTAAAATGTCGTGAATGAAGCTTCTATAAAACATTAGGCACATTAATGGTGTTCTGAGATAAACCTGTCGAAATAAGTCATGTAGAAGATTGAGTCAAACGAAACTACACTTATTGAACTCCCAATCAATATATTTAAAATATTTTGTGAAAGAACAAAAGTGACCATATTTTCACAACAAAATTTCATCTACTGGATGTCGTTTAAGAGAAATTTCAAAAAAATAAAATTTTCGTTATGTTTTTCCTACCTTTATTTTTGTTTTTGGTGTGATTATATAAATAAGATTGAGAAACGGGTATGCCAATATGAAGGCAAACACCATCAGGATCCTTTTAACAATGTTTGCCTTTAGGAACGGGCCGATACCTTCATACCAGCTTCTATCTAGCCTCTGCTGACAACTAGGATGTGATACAAACTGAAATATACAAGTGAACTCTAAAATATACAAGAGAACTCTAAAATATACAAGGGAACTCTGACATATACAAGGGAACTCTGAAATATACAAGTGAATTCTAAAATATACAAGAGAACTCTAAAATATACAAGGGAACTCTGAAATATACAAGGGAACTCTGAAATATACAAGGGAACTCTAAATTATGCAAGAGAGTTCTGAAATATGCAAGGAAACTCTGAAATATACAAGGGAACTCTGAAATATACAAGGGAACTCTAAATTATGCAAGAGAGTTCTGAAATATGCAAGGAAACTTATCTTGGTAAATGATTAGAAAAGAATAAAGATTACGATATCTTTTCCATGGAAATATTCATTTATCGTTTCACAAACCTAAAATGGAGGTAACAAATTTCTAAGTTCTGTCCCTATAGAATAGGGTGACAAACACGAAAAAGAGCTAAAGAAATAAATTTTTTGCCACAATAGAGCTGAATTAAATTCTTTTAAATTTAAGTAAAACCAAGGAAACTAATGGCACGCGATGCCCATATACTATGTCCTGTAAGACAATGTTGCTGGAACTATATTACCACATATGAGGTCAAAGTAGTATCTTCAACTCACCTGGAAAATATAGCTCGAAACAGAGACGAGACTGGTAGAACAGACATCTTCAATATATTTATAAGTGCAGGGAGTAGACTTGAAAAATTTAGATCGGCTATTATCATGTATTATGTATCTTTATATTCAACCTTTAGTATATATTTAAATGCAAATGACAATGACTGTACTAATACAGGCAGAGAAAACATTGGAAAATATATTTAAAAAAAACAACGTGACAATTTCATAAGATATTAGAATATCATAGAAAAACCTTAATCTTGAAATTCTAGTAATAACCCTTACCTTATTTCCCCTTCTTATACATCTAGTAACCTCACTTTTTTATTCTAATAATTAAGTTCACATTTTCCTCCCTTTATAATGACTCTCACCCTTTTTTTTCTCATTTTGATAATCACCCTTACCTTTTTCATTCTAATAATGACCCTCAACTTTTTCAGTCTAATAATGAACCTCACCTTTGTTTTCATTCTAATAATGACCCTCGACTTTTTTCAGTCTAATAATGAACCTCACCATTGTTTTCATTCTAATAATGGCCCTCAACTTTTTTCCGTCTAATAATGAATCTTACCTTTGTTTTCATTCTAATAATGACCCTCAACTTTGTTCAGTCTAATAATGAACCTCACCTTCTTCTGATTCTAATAATGACCCTCAACTTTTTTTCTAATTCTTAAAACGACCCTTATATTTTTTTTTCTCATTCTAATAATGACCCTTAACTTTTTTCAGTCTAATAATGAACCTCACCTTTGTTTTCATTCTAATAATGGCCCTCAATTTTTTTCAGTCTAATAATGAACCTCACCTTTGTTTTACATTCTAATAATGACTCTCAACTTTTTTCATTCTAATAATGACCCTCAACTTTTTTCAGTCTAATAATGAACCTCACCTTTTTCTGATTGTAATAATGACCCTCACCTTTTTCTCTCCATATTGTAAAGCCAAGCGCAGTCTTGCCAGTGAACTGTACTTCTCTTCGTTAGGTTTTCCTGCTTTATTTAACACAAGTTCTAGCTCATCCTGAGTCCTCACACGATCCAGTAACTTGACCACGTATGCACTTAACTGATTAGATAATTCTCTATACTCTTGCTGTAGTAAATAAAAACATTACAATTTTGTAAACAACTTTTATAATGATTTCATAAACACGTAAACCAAAGCAAAATAATTGCTATCGTCGACGAAATCACTAACAGATTTTCTGCTATCTTTCAAACAACAACCTTCATTTAGAGCAGCAACAGCAACAACAAACAAATCGTCCCCATTATCAGCGCCATCATTAAGTAACACCACCATTAACATAGCCATTACTTCAATGTTATCGACTTAAAGGTCATTCGCGTTATAATTATTATCACAAATATTAAACACATGATATTAGTGTTTTTAATCGAAATCATCATTACAGTGGTATAATTGTTGAAAAGTTACAATGTATGTTTCCTACATGCCTACATTTCTTTAATTGTCAAATTGAATAAAAATTAAGTCAAATAAATTCTTTTTTTTTTCCTGTCTGCTGAATAAAATTATTGTATTATTTTGATAAAAAAAATTAGTGTTCATGTCTTGTTTTCAAATGAATTGGTAAATGCATAAATTAGTTGTGTCGATTATTTCGAGCTCACTGAACTTGAAGTGTATATGTAATTGACAGGCGGATAGATACGCCACTCAAGAACATCGCATTGTATTTTGCCCGCCCGCCGATCCCTTTTATTGTTGTCAGTCTTAGACAATTTGTTCTCACTTAAAACATGTAAAATAGCCATTATTTTATTTACTTACACCAAGATTAGGCAAATGTTACAATATAACTGTAGTCAGTGAATTATGAAAAGCATGTTTTTAACTTAATTGGCAGTAAAGCTTTTGGTTGTTGCTATCCGTAGATATCGACATGAAAATAATCAAGATAATAGTTTATTTTACAGACTTTGAGCGATTTCACAGGTTAAGCTTCCGGTGACAAAAAGTGTTATAATTTGTATTGATGTGTTTTTAACGATATTGAAACAATGCGAAGGCCTTCATCCTATTTCAGTGTTGTTGTTTATTCTGTCCAAGACTGAATGTCTTATAACTCTTATTGGGTGATAAATGATTTATTTTCGTTTAAGCGAAGCGAATTAGAAAATAACTAACTTAAATTTATACAAATACCATGTTTACAGTTATGCAATACTTTATAATCCGAAAGATTTACTTCGGAATCCGATAATTACCGAACAGTGGTCATTGAATATTCAAATGCCTCAGGTCAAGGTTGATAAATAATATCGACTTAAACACCATTAGTGTTATAATAAGTATTACAAATATTAAACACATAATATTATTTTATTCAATCGAAATCGTCATTTTAGTGTTATCATTGTTGAAAAGTTACAATGTTTGTTTTATACATTTCTTTGTCAAAATGAATAAAAATCAAGTCAAATAAATTCTTATTTTCCTGTCTACTAAATGAAATTATTGTACTGTTTTGATAATTGAAAAACATAGGAAAATTCGTGTTCACGTCTTGTTTTCAAATGAATTGGGAATTTATAAATGCATTTTGCCTTATTTGGACTCGTAAAGTTATTTATTTTTAAACGTAAATACAATACAACGTATTTGTTACAAAAAGCTAAATTTAATACAGAGCCAAGTCTTATTTAGATACAGGAATGTATAGCTATAATAGAAGAAGTTGTACTAAGTATAATCATAAGTATTTCCTTGATTAAAGCCCGTATTGCAAACTCTTCGTTATGTTTAGAATTGATTGTTCGATATTTCCTTATTCATATTTGAAATTTGCACTGTAACGAAATACTGTGTAAATATAAAAGTTCTATTCTATTCTGTTATGTCTGTTCATGTTAACGTAAGAGAATTGTCACCTTTATTAGTCCTTAATTGTTTTGTATCAGTTAGGCCTTAAATTGAATTGGTCTTTAATGGAAGGTCTGTTATACCATTAATAAATATGTTGCTAGTATTTAGTATCATCATACATGTACATATCGTGAAACAACGAAAGAATTATATGAGCCGTGTCATGACAAAACCAACATAATGGGTTTGCGACCAGCATGGATCCAGACCAGCCTGCGCATCCGCGCAGTCTGATCAGGATCCATGCTGTTCGCTATCAGTTTCTCTACTTGTTATAGGGTTTGTAAGCGAACAGCATGGATCCTGATCAGACTGCGCGGATGCGCAGGCTGGTCTGGATCCATGCTGGTCGCAAACCCATTATGTTGGTTTTGTCATGACGCGGCTCATATGTGAATGTTTTTGGTAACCTGAGATAAACGATCAGATATATAAAGCAGATAATGAATTATTCTAAAAAAAAATATTATTTAAAAAATTTCATCAAATTAGTGTTTCATACTAAATCACGTAGACCTCTATCAACATTTCTTTCCAAGATATATTTTATAGGAATATTAAATTGATTCATTTTTATTGTTTTTTTTATCAATATTTGAAAATACTTATGGAAATATACAATACAGTACAAATTAATTTATTGTAAATAAAACATTATGACAAATGTATAATGTTAAGCACAAAACATTAATACACATTTATGAAAATGGAGATCAAATATGACATGAAAAATAACAATATTTCTTGAAAGGTCTTATATTAATAAGGAAATATCAGGTTGCACAAATGAGATTAAATGATTAATTATGATAATACATAGGGGTGTGGATCGTCAGATAAGTGACAATCCGATCCGATCCACGATTCAGCACTTACGATCACAAATCGAACCACGAATCTTTTGTTATTAAGACACATAAAAATACATGAACGTTGGTTCTTAAACACATGTTTATTTGTTTATTATACCCCCGCACAACAAAGTTGTAAGGGGGGTATACTGGAATCAGCTTGTCCGTCCGGCCGTCCGTCCGTCGGTTTTTTCTTGTCCGCCCAATAACTTAAGATTCCTTTGACCTACAGTTTTCATATTTGGCATGGAGGTTAGTCATGATTAGTAGATGACCCCTATTGATTTTGAGGTCACCAGGTCAAAGGTCAAGGTCACAGGGGCCTTGACTTCAAAAAGCTTGTCCGCCCAATAACTTAAGATTCCTTTGACCTACAGTCTTCATATTTGGCATGGAGGTTAGTCATGATTAGTAGATGACCCCTATTGATTTTGAGGTCACCAGGTCAAAGGTCAAGGTCACAGGGGCCTTGACTTTAAAAAGCTTGTCCGCCCAATAACTTAAGATTCCTTTGACCCACAGTCTTCATATTTGGCATGGAGGTTAGTCATGATTAGTAGATGACCCCTATTGATTTTGAGGTCACCAGGTCAAAGGTCAAGGTCACAGGGGCCTTGACTTTAAAAAGCTTGTCCGCCCAATAACTTAAGATTCCTTTGACCCACAGTCTTCATATTTGGCATGGAGGTTAGTCATGATTAGTAGATGACCCCTATTGATTTTGAGGTCACCAGGTCAAAGGTCAAGGTCACAGGGGCCTTGACTTCAAAAAGCTTGTCCGCCCAATAACTTAAGATTCCTTTGACCCACAGTCTTCATATTTGGCATGGAGGTTAGTCATGATTAGTAGATGACCCCTATTGACTTTGAGGTCAAAGTTCAAGGTAACAGGGGCCTTGACTTCAAAAAGCTTGTCCGCCCTATAACTTTAGATTCCTTTGACCCACAGTCTTCATATTTGGCATGGAGGTTAGTCATGATTAGTAGATGACCCCTATTGATTTTGAGGTCACATGATCAAAGGTCAAGGTCATAGGGACTTTGACTTCAAAACGTTTGTCCACCCATTAACTTAAGATTCCTTTGACCCACAGTCTTCTTATTTGGCATGGATGTTGATCATGACTATAAGGTGACCCCTATTGATTTTGAGGTCACTGGGTCAAAGGTCAAGGTCACAGGGACTTTGACAAAAGCTTTTCTTCTCAATTGCTAAAGAATGTCCTGTCCGCAATGTATTGATTTTGACATTTTCACATTTGAAGCATGTAGAATACATAACTTAGCAATGCACTGGCTTAGTAACCTCAGATTTGGCAGGGAGGTTTTCCTTGAGCTCTTAATGGCCACTGTTGATTATGACAAAGTGGTATGCGGGGGTATTCACGCCATGATAGTGGCAGTTCTAGTTTTTCTTAAAACATATAGAAAATAAAACATATTTGCCAATATAAACTGGGTTTTATTTATTTATTCTTTGCATAAGTGTACATCTGAGAAACCTTTATGGTGATTTTGTGATATCTGAAAAATAACTGCCATAGATAGTCAACAACCATACTTATGACTTAAACCAGATTCACCAGTCAGCCCCTAAAATTTACATGTTATGAAGAATGGAAGCAATGTCCTTGGTTTCATTAAAGTTTTTTTTCAAAAAAATTAATTGATCAAGACACTGAGGGTCAAGACATAACCTAGTTGCTGTAACAATATCTCCAGCAGTTGAAAATATACGTTCTGAAGCAACAGAACTTGCTTGTACATACAGGTAATACTTTACGAGCCTAGAAAGACGAGGTAACCTGACAGCAATGCCCTTCCAGAACTTCAAGGGATCCTCAAAGGATAGCACTTTTGACTCACATTTGTACATTTCAATTTCCTTGCAAATAAGCTCTTCATTGGAAAGAGGTGGCTCCTTCATCATCATCTATCAGGAAACTAAGACCAGATCTCATTTTCTTTGCAGGAAATAAAATTGGGTCCTCGATTTTAGGCTCCACCGAGTCTAGCTGGCTTGGGAGAGCTGGCAATGGTGGTAAGTCTGTCTGTATTGAAGGTTCCTCTAATTCAGATTTTACCTTAATTGGCAGGTGTGGAGGCAAAGCCATCAGTTTATCCTTAAGTCTGTCCCAAACAGCTAATGGGGCTTTGTACTTTACCCTGGGAATTAATACATCATACAGATATTCTCTCTATATTAGCAAAATACAAGAAAAACTTCGAAAGACTGAATGGCTTTATTTTCAATTTAGAATTTATTAAAGATTCAAATTTATTAAAAGTCGGCCACCAAGAACAATATTCCTTTAGCTCTCTATCTAGGACACACTGACAAAAAATGAAACTCTGCTTCAATTGTGTTCATGTAACAGGAGTTACATGTACATAGCCGTTGCTCACGCGGAGTGTTCCTAAGTCTTTCAGTTTCAAGTTTTGAAATTTTATCGAAACACTGCTCGTAATCGATGAAAATACAGTAGAGCTTCTGTTTGGAATGAAGTACCTTAGAAATGCCTGTTACAGTCAGTGTTAGATTTTCCATTTTAAAATCAAATTGGTTGTTTGACAGTTTATTGTGTTTGTCAAGCGATTAAGTAATATTTGCATATATATTTTCGCTAATATGTTGATCAATGATATTCCGCAATAACTCTTAACAACATTTATATAACCCTTTTTAACCATTGCGTTTTGATTCCTTGTCCCCATGCAGTGGGATATTCATAATCATTAAAAATCTGTGAAATAAACCCACACTTTAAGATAAGTTGCGTTCATCAAATATGACAAAGAACATGAAGACATTTGGTGTAATATTAAGCTGAATCATGGGTCATTTATGTCGATGACCCTCTGTATTACGCTATTAGTAATCATTTCACGTCAATGTTTACAAAGCCTTTTTGAGGACACTGTCAGACAATTTCGTGACATATAATGAATTGGAAGTAATCACGCTATTGTTTAAATATAGCGATTAAACATACTGTCGATTATGGATTGGCATATATTTTCTATGTCGTGCAAGCACTTCTTGTGGAAAAAAATAAAATGTTACAACGCAGACTTTGAAGGTTTAACCTTTTGAACTTAAAAATCAGTCAAAATGCAACGTTTGAAGAAAGACGTTTTTAAGCCAAAGAATGTATTCTCGAGAAAATGGACGGAAATTTGATTATACATATAGAAATCCAATGTAATTTTAATGGTCAGATAAATTGTACATAGTTACTGTTTATCAATATTTCCACTATTACTCCTCTAGGTGCGTTTTGAAACGAAAATTTGAAAATGTTAAAATGTTTGCTGTAAAATATCTACCTCTAGGTTATTCAGTTTATTTCCTTTATATTGAAATTCCAATCTAGCAGATGGTGTTTTGTCATTTATCTTTTGTTTCATTTTACAATGTTTAATTTCCTATCATTTATTTCATAAACGTTCAATAACTTCATTTTTTAGGATTTAATAACACTTGCGCAATTTTCTATTTATTTTATTAGATTGAAAAACCATTACCCTCTTTTTATAGCATTGTATTTTTTATGTTTTTCAATCATAAGCTAAGTTATAGCCTGACTGTGCAATTAATTATAAATCAATAGTAATTCATAAAATTAGATTATAATCTGAATAATGTATCAATGATTTAAATAAAAAAAAGTTCTGAGGGCAACCTATAATTTCCAAAATGACATCACCATTCAAACTTCTTTTGCAGAAGTATCTTTTTTAAACAAATGTTTCAAAATTAATTAGGTTTTAAGATTAAAAAATACATCAACACAAAAGATATGTATCCTATGATATACATTTGTTTTCGTTGTTTGGCCTCACTTAAGGCGGGAGCCTATTATGATGAGGTTGGGCTGTACGTAGTAACTCTAGTACGTATATCATTCTGGCGTGGGTTCGATCCCCGGGAGATGCTTTGGTAGTTTTTAGCGCGGTGGAAGGTAGTCTAGTACTGGTGTAACTCTCCAGGGACGATGGTTAGGAAACTTCCCGCCTATATGACTGAAATACTGTTGGAAAAAGGCGTAAAATGAAACAAACAAACAAACGTATATCATTTGTTATTTTTGTTGGTTGTTCTCCTTAGGTGTCCACTCTTACCTGGTCATTCTCCACCTAGCTGGAAAGTCCAGATAAAACCTTTATGTACAATGTTGGTGAGACTTAAAACCCAGTCAAAATATCATTGCCCGAACATTAGCTTCAGAAGTATTAAGCCTATGTTTGTGAATCTTTATATGAACAATGGACATAACCATTGGGACTTAAAGGTCATAAGGTCAAAGGTCACAGTGGCACTATATGTAAAATCTTTCTGCTATTAATTTTATGAACAGGAATTGGGCTAGGTATGTTCTATTTTGTTGACGTGTCAATGGACATTACTGATGGTCTTAAAGACAGCTCTGATTTGTTTTTCAGATCATTAGGTTATTATTTATTGTTCTTCAGACAAGGAACTTAAAATCGAACGCAGGTGGAATGCAAAAAGTCGCGACTTCACGTAAAATTAAATAAAGATAATGAATAAACTTACTCCAATGCTCATATCAAATACTACGATCTCTGTTCTACACACTTGAAGCATTCAAGCAACGTAAAATTAAATCAAACGCGCCTTACATCAGAAGTAAAGCAATGGAAACTTTCACAAAACGTATTTCCTCTATTAAATCTAATCTAGCGTAAACAAACTTCCTTACAAGGCAAAACTTATGATACATCAACAATCCCTCGGGGTTGTTAGCAAAGAGGTAATGAGAGAAACCTTCAGCCCTGGTCTAATTGATAATGTCTCCCACGCCCCATAGCACCAGTTAAAATATCAAGCAATATTCTGAACGTCAATGATCTCGAAATATGTAAAAAGTATGCGATCTGCGCAGCCGTCACTGTGACACAACTTCCTGTTAACTAAGACCACATAAGGTCAAAATATATTTTGTTTAATGAAAGACAATGGCATGCTGTTACAAAATATGACGTCATATTTCTCAGGAATCATTGAAGGAAAAAAACTGGCAGTTTCTATCTTACAAATAGAGATACAATAAATATAGTTAATACAACATTGACACGCCAGTACAACAAAATAGAAAATACGTAATATTTGTATAAATAAAATATCCAAATACTTAGAATAAACACATATTTTAAGGATTTAAATAGCTTAACATTTAATTTATTATTTGTAAGACATTATTTGGCAATGCACTGCCATATTGTCTAACCTGTTGGAATTTTTACATGATGCTTTCAGATTAATTTGTTTTTTTTTGTTTTTGTTTTAATTAAATGAATAAAAAGTGTTTATTTATTTAAGATTAAAATTAAACTATTTATTTGAACTGTTGTTTAAATAATTCTTTTATAAATGTAAAGAGTATTATAAACGATAGATGTGAATCTTACCTTAAAGTATTTCTCATTTCTAGACAGATTTTTCAGCTCGTGAGACAGTTGGAATGACGTTAGCACTGGATCTTTACTTGACAATGATATATAGGCTTCACTTGACATACCTCTATAAGCATTGAGGCGATATTTTGCCGACCGCAATTGATCAAACTTCATTTTATTAACGCATTCCTGACACAAACACCCAAATTTGTGCGGTTTCTGTATCCGATCACCCCGCAATAACAGTAGTTGCACTATTTCGTATTGGTTCTTTTGTGCCGCCAAAATAAGCGGAGTGATATCCGGGGAGAACTGTGACTCCTCGTATTGTGTTTTGAAAAAGTGGTCATCATCCCCGAACTTCTTTCTTTCTTTCCATATTTCAAGATAACGTTTATGTTTAAGAATGTTCTCGGCAATCTGGACATGTCCAGCGCTGATAGCCTGCAACACTGCCTCGTAAATATGTCGGCTGCTCGACTTCTCTAATAGTACTTCAACGACCTACAAAAAATATACAACAAATCACCAAATATCTTTCTAATCTGTTAGATGGCAATGTTTATTATAATAAATATTCCTGAAACGACTGGCGAGACTTTTTACGAGTATATCTGACGTATTTATATAACCCATGCATTTATTGTGGTAGATAATGAAAAAGAGTTCGGGTGGCGGTTTACGCACAGCTTTACATCAGCAATTCTCTTGACTATTTCTTTAAAAACATATACTTATTTGGGGAAACTGCTCACCGTTAATACAATATATTAAAAACAGGGCGTGACAACCGATGAAAAAATCGAGAAAGATATTGCGATGTGCATTATAGTATGCAGGCTTATACCACTTAAATATAATCTCCTTTATCAGCAAATAGTATGTTGGTTTATAACAAATATTTACAAGATAAGAATGGACTAAAATACAAAAATAACATCACGTATGACAAGATCATGTGCACTAAAAGACACTTGTATAATAAATAGATTCAAATCCTGCTATATCCCCTCCCCCGCATACAATTTGCAGGGCTAGAATTACAATGCGTTCTGTCGCAATTGAAAATTACATCTTCTATCACAATCGCACGCGCCTCCATTTGTTTGTCACTTCTGCGTCACAATCACTGAACTATCGTCAGTGTCATATTTTATAATTGTGATCGTTCTCTATGATACACGATAATTGTGATCATTCACCTTCTGTAATTGACTTTGATCAGACGTAATCGGTTTTTACTAAATACATGTAACAGCAATTATTGAAAGCATGTAATTACTGGCAGTTTATTGATTATAAATTTATTCTCCTTGTTGGTTAAATTGTTGATATCATTTAGATGTTTATACTGGGAATATGCCAGTTTTATAACCTATAATCCGCTTAAAATACCATTAACATGCTAGTTATTGTATTACGAAGTAATACCTTTACGATTTAAAGAATAAAAGTTAAATAGTTATGTATCCGTCCAAAATCCATTCCTGTCAGTAGGTGCTTATGTTCAAAATCTGGGCCGTATTTGTTGTAAATTGGCATAATTTTTAAGATTTGCCAAGTTGTAATTGTTTTACCTCATCCTCATGCTTGAAATAGTGATAATAAGAAGAATAATGAGGTCTCTGTGGACTAGTACTAACAATGACTTAACACTGGCTGCTGTGTATCTCGACATGAATTTGTATTTTGGCATGTGAAATTTCAGTCAGCAAGTTTACGGAATGACTGTGAGTGCATGATTACAAGTTTGTTTATTTTGTTTAAATAATTGGTTGGTTGATTGGTTTGGTTTTTGGTTTTGGTTTTTGCTTGATTTGGTTTGGTTTAATTTGGTTTGGTTTAGTTTTGGTCAGGTTTGGTTTGGTTTCAACGCCTATTTTAACATATTTTGGTCATATCTCTGCGGTGTGTCTACGCAACCGAAATTCCTGGATAACTAACCAGTAATTGCCAATTTCTCCACAAGTGACTGGCTACTAATTTCACATGATTTATTATCAAGTAACAATTATAATCAATGTCCGAGATAAACTGTCATGGAGGAATTTCCCCGAACCATCGAATCTGGTTTTACTGTATGATACTCTTTCTTTTGAGTTAAGCGGGCATTTGTATCACATTTGGTACCAGAAGTTTTCGTTACATCCGTTAACCTGGAAAGTTGCAATATGACCTTGACATTGTACTAGCAATGTTGTTGCATTGTCCTGTAATACTGACTGTTTTGACCCACAATAAGATAGATAGTTAGACATTGTTCGGTTACTTCAAATTTGTCGGCAATGTGCGGTTTCCCTTTTGAACGCTATTTCAACGGCTGTTGTGATAAAACAAAGTTTACAAAATTAAGGCAAACGTATTCGAATAATTAGATTCGTGTCAGTTGCATTACTTTCTATATCGACATTTGACAACAAAATGAGAAAATGAGAAAGAAACTAAAAGGATTGTCAAAGTACCAGTAAAATAATTCAACGCTTGCTATTCTATTCATTATTTTAAGATATTGTACTGCAAGGAATAAATTCTCATAATACAGGTTAATTGTACAATGGAAATTACGCACATAAACCTCTCGTGAGACATTTTAACCGGAAGTTATGTCTGACTGTGACGTCACAACATTTAATGACAAGTAAGCCAAATACAAGGTACATGTACGAAAAAATGGTTCTGGTTGCGATATTGTTGAACTGAAATTTTATAACTTCAATAGCTGTATACCAGACTTCAATGACATTTTATCATATTTATTTAATTACCAGATCAAATTTAATAGTATGCTCGAGTCCTGGATAGAGCGTAGCTTTCATCGTTTTTCGTTTTTTTAAATCTAAACAATGTTGTTCTGCAATTGAGAATTGGTGTTTCCGTGTTTTTAGACTTCCAAAATTGGTGCTATAAGAGCGCATGACCTGTGTCGCTGTTATTTCTCGCTCTTTACAAGGCAAATAATACTTAAATAAATTTTTAACTTAAAAAACACTTGACTGTATTCATGCAAAAATAAACCCTTAAACATCTTATGTAAAAGTTCTATGAATTGGCAGAGGCATAGGAACGTGAGTCACAAAAAAAATTGATACAACGAGCTTATAACGAGCTGATTATTGTGTTACATCAGTTAGTACGGCATAGTTATTGACTTTAAATATGATATACAAAACAGCAACAGTTCATTAGGGATAACCTATTTATGACATAACAATATTCTAAGGAATATGAAACAATTATCACTATAATTATCATACTCCGGTAATAATATTGCAAAACCAAACTATACACATAGACTTGGAAGGATGGAGAAAGCACTGTGCTATGAAATTTGATATGAAATCCATGACCATAAATGTTGATTTTTCACGAGCAATTCCTACTGGTTACCTGGTAACAGAATGAAACTATTGATGACAATATTCAGTAGTGTGTGTATGTGGAAAATAAGCTTTCTGTTTGCTTTTGAAAACCTGGTGAATATTGATCCTGCAACTACTCCAGTTATAGTAAATGAAACAAAATGTCGTATAAATACACGGTAATTGTAAAATAAATACCTGAAATTTATCCATCTATTTGATTAAACACATATTTCTTAATACTCTTTCAATTAATAACGTTTTATAATCGCCAACAAAATCCCATATTTATATACATACTAGTAAAACATTTTGATAATACCATTTATTATTATCAGTACCAAGGGACTACAATGGAAATAGATTTAGTTTTTTGTTTGAAACTGGCAAACTGGCGATGTTTCATTTCTCATACAGGTTTTACTGTCATTGCTTTTTTTTTTTTTTTTTTTGGATTTGTTTCAACGTGTAATTGCAATACTGAAATAAATCTCTCTATTTATTACCAGATCTTATAACTTGGCCAGCTAATTTAAATACACCAGTAGGTACAGTAGTATGTAACATTTACAAATTAAATGTATGCATATAATTAATCGGAAAGTTTACTTTAAAATGCGTGGAAATCGTTGTACTTTCACTTCGAAGTTTTAGTGCATTGTTGTACAATAGTTCAAATGCGCAAGAATATTGTAGGGCAATCATGTCCATTGTATATTGACTAGTGAGCCATTGAATATGATAAGATATCCGCCGGCAGATGACTGCTGGTGAATATCACATCATATTCCATGGCTCACTAGTCAATAAATGTTTTATTATAGGCACAAACAAAAAGTAAATCCTTGTAAAGAAAAATAAAACACAACGTTTGTCTGTTTTTGTTGAAGCGATAGACAAAAGATGAACTTTTTAGCTGGTAAATATGATGTGATATGTACTGGAAAAAATATTGACCGAGGCGATAGCCTATCATATTCACCAACTAAAAAGGACATATCTGTTTTATTATATAATCTATAAACGCTTTTATATGGGATATCATATCTGCAAATGAATACGAAGGAAATCGACATTTTTCAGCTTGTCTACTTTTTCCATTATTTGGCACCGACATTTTAATGAGCGTTTTCTCAGAAAAAATAACAACAAACTTGACATGTCACGTCATAGTAAGCGTCTTTTTTTGGGCTTTCCAGAAAATCTATTTTTAGAATAAAAACAGTGAATATATTCAATTTTTTTCTATAAAAACAGGATTTATTTTCATAGAGTGGTATGAAAATAAATATTTTATCAGTGGCGATAGCCACAGGTGAAATAATTATGATAATTTCATAGCACAATATGAAAATAAATCGTATATTTTTAGAAAAAAAACTTGAATTTTTTGTTTATTATATAGGCTACTTTTTTCTTTTTGACATCACAGTTTGAAAAAATACATCTTAACCAATCAGAGAGTCATTTTAAAGCTATTCATATATCATAATACATGATATATGCAAAGAATATAAAATAAATGCTTACACGTCATATGACGTTAAATTTGACGCCAGGAAAATTACTTCTACGCTCAATGTAGTTTAACATATTTTGATATATTCTCCTTTTTATTTGCATGTCAGAATGAAAATATATATTAATTTTTCTTGCAATATAGCATAATAATGCACTGTTTATCGTTTCAAACGCATTATAATTAATCACTCAGGCTTATAAGCTCGAGAAATCATATAACTGCACATTTGAACTCGAACCGTGCTTTATTCTACAACAATGCACATAATATTAAGAGGATATTTTTTCGTTTGAGTGAAATATGGTATATATTTTCACGAAACATGATAACATGCCACATATTTTCACGAGCCGGCACGGCGAGTGAAAATATGTGGCACTTTATCATGTTGAGTGAAAATATATACCATATTTCACGAAAAACGAAAAAATAACCTTTTTATTTAATTTCATTATCAAAGAAAATGGTAACGAATACCCTTGCTTGCTACCAACTGCAATTGTACAGCGCGCAGTAATTTATGCGTAAGCACGCGCTGTTTGGCGCTACATTATGACGTCATGTAAACAACTCTTTAAACGTCTGTACAGCGTTAATTACTGAATTAAAGATATTGGTGTTCGGATTAATTTTCTTAGTTAGACCATTTTCTAGCATGCTAGATAGTTATCAAAACAAAATTCAAGAAAAAGTTGTTTTGTATTTATCAGATTTTTCAAACAAAACGGCGAAAGAAGTCCCTTAAAATAAATATGAGTTTTGACTCCGCCCACTTTCATATTTATATTTCATATTTATTTTTAAAATATATGAATTATATTTGACTGATATAGCACCATATTTCATGGGTAAAATTAAATAATGATATATATTTCCTAATTAAATATTATTTACCTGATTTGAATTATTCTGTTTATTCTGGTAAAGGTAATCAATCAGCAAAATTTTGATAAAATTACGGACATAGAATAATAAGAAATAAACGAAAACGGCGAAATTACAAAAAAAGTGTAACCGGAAATTACATTTGTACGCAGTATATTTCCTAGTTTCATATTTTCCTATTTGTTGACGTCACGAAAATAAATTAATTATAGCTATTTCCCTATTTCTCCTATTTCTCCAGGAAGCTTAAATGTCAGTTATTAAGGATTAGATGTAACGTAAAAATACATTTTTTCATATTTAAATTAATATTTAACTTTCTGAATTTTCTGAAGTAAGACTTCTTTAGTTTTATAGACTTTGGAAATGAAAATTTTTACCTTAACAATATATACAGGACATTGAAAAAAAAGCGTACGTTTGAGTAAAAAGGTAATTGTTAAACTTCACAAACCAAAGGTCATGATCATGATTAGATTTTTATATGCAAAGAAAATTGTACAAATACTTCTGTAAATTGAAGTTTTTCCATTTACCTAATCACTTACTTTCAGGAACAAATGTATAAAAATCAGGTATAAAATATCAGTGAAGTAATGATCAATATTAGATGTAAAAAATTGTCAACCAGGTAAAATGTCTTTAGGGAATAATGAATATCATATTCCAAGAAAACTGCGGGAAATATTCTGTCCTTGTCATCAGAAATTTACTTAAGGTAATGGATCTGTAAGGACTCGTGTTAATTTACATTTTCCTCATCCCGGTTTTCCTTATAAGTATTGTCACACTAGAAACACATTTTTACCTTCAGAGCAAAGTGAACAAACATCATATGTAACCATGTAATTATGGTATTAATATAAAGAAGATGTAGTGTACAGATTTGCAATTGTATTTATAAACAGCCCTTAAAATAATGTCTCTGTTGTACTAAAAATTGTGTGATTGCGCATGTGTGTCTGAGTGTGTGCGGATGCGCGTGCGTGCGTGCGTGCACATGTATTTATATGTACTATAACAGTACTTGGAAGATCCCTTTATCATCTGATACCACTGCATGATTTTCTTTTGAATAGAAAATATGAAGAAATTTGTCAATAGGTTCTCATGAGTATTTCACAAATTTGTACTGCAGGTATTTGACCTTAACTTTAATTAGAAGCTGGTAGCTAAGCTATAACCATTCAGTTACTAGCTTCTTGACATTTGAGGACCTAAATGACGCACATTCGTTGTTTCTACTTGATCTCGAAAATACCATTGTATGTGTTAAACCAGGCATAATTCACACTGTGTGAGAAATATATTGAAAATACATTATGTAGTATATTTAAAAAAAAACATCACCGTTTGTTTGTCGTATTATATCTTAAAGCAGCATGGCTCCAAATTCATGGTAATTTGAATCAAAATTTTGAAAATGTAACATATTGTAAAGTGAACAAAGAAAGTAATTTTTAAGTTGCAAACGACGCTTACAATCCACGTCAATTACCAAAAAAATATGCAAAAATAAAACTTAAAAATATGGTAATAAATATTGCAAAATCAGTCATTAATAGCACCTGGCATGTAAATTATTACTTAAATCTTGAATCTTTTTACTTTTCTTTTGATTTTCAGTACATATTTCTGAATTTTGATTTGCGCTTGAAATATTTTGGCTCATACGAGGGCATGCAGCTTTAATACATTTGATTATACTTTCACAATCTAAGAATATGTATCACTTATTAATGGAATGCATGTATTATTATACAATGATTAAATCAATATTACTTTTTTTTAATTTCAGTTTAAATTGTTGATAAAAGAAGGTCCTTTAAACATCATTGTTAAAGTAGTTTTTCTTTTAACTAGCAGATACATGGTTCAAATCACAGCACGTCCTTACGTTAATTAGATAGCTTGCACGTCTGTACGTAAACTGGATAACTGTCTCACTGAAAAAAAAACATTTGAGATTCGAACCTATCAAATGGGAGGCGGGGAGACAGTTATTTTCAAACCTAGGAAAGGAACAAAGTTAAAGATATATATAAGTAAAATAACTACGTAAATGATGGGCTTCATTATCAAAGTAATATATGAATGTATTATTGTGATGAAAATGTTGTTCTTACCTCAAGGTGCTCGTTTTTTACAGCCAATCTCAGCGCCGTCCTACCGAGAGCGTCTATACAATCAACATTGAGTTCACTATTTTCTGCTAGTAGCCGTCTAACTGTCGGAATATCCCCAAATTCTGCCGCGTGCAGGAACTCCTCTTCAACGTCCACAAGCTGTTTAATATGTACATTTTGATATAATGAAAACGTTTTACCAATGGCGTCTATTTTAGCACCAAATCTTGACTTTCTAAAACTAGCCCCTACCATCGGTTTACCATTCTTTAATGACATTTTGTTTAAGCTAATCTCCGAGATATCTTGTAGTCCTTTCTAGACTCATACCACACTTATAGTATCTTAGTATCAGCTTTTAAAATAGATTCATGAATAGTAAAGAAAGTCCGACAACACAAATATATAAGCGTCATTTGCATTTGCAAATTTCTTGTCGAATCTACGCAACACCTACTTTACTGATAGAAGTCTGCATATATTTGATCCATTAGTACCATAATGTTTACAATCTTGTTTAGAGAACGTTTAGAGAACTTGCTGTAATTATTCAATATTTCTCCTCTGCCTAATTAAAATGACAAGGCAACGATTGTTTATGACTGATGAAAACTTCATAGAAAACTAAATCATTTCAAACATAAGGTATGCTAAAAGCTAATTAGTGATGTTATACTGTTATATAGGGAAAAAATCCCTTTACACCATATTTTATTTCTCCCACGTTAAAATCCAGTAAATATACAAAATATTGTTGTTACACTATAGATAATACGTTTAATAATAGCGCCGATTAGGTACCACGGGTCACAAATTATAGTATAATTACCCGATGCTTCTAGCTCGATACATCTTTGATATATGATGCACGCGATATATCGACAAGCGGCCAGTAATAGTCGTTAATAAGTCTTCGATTTTTACGAGCGTAAATAATGAATAACTATACGATATCGAAGTATATTATCAAATTTCTCATTTTTACTAAAAATGTCAGTTTATATAATTAATTCACCATGTACATATATACTACACCTCACTCTCAGGTAGGGTTACCACGATTCCATGTTAATTAAATTGACAACGCTATATTTCAGTTGTTATTGACCAGTTTAAGTAAAAAAGGAACTATGTTTTGCTCAACTTGTGAGACAGATTTATACAACAACTAAAATAGTTTTGTTTAATGTGAAATTATCATATTTTGATTTAAAAAACAACAACAAAGAAATAAAAAAAATAATGAAAACGTCACCTATTGATATTTTAACCTCTTGCTATTATAGCTCTAGATTTGAAAATTCGAATATTTGACAAACATGCAATAATCATAATATGATTCAAAATTCATCACATATCTACATTTACCATAAAGTTTCATGATTGCATGATGTGTACACATTTTCCGACCACTAACTAAGTGATGACTAGTGCAATAAAAGCTGTGATATAATAAATGCACTAATGGGTGACAGAAAATAGACCGACGTCTCATTTATAAAATCGATTTCTGATAAATAAAGGATAGACACATCTTTACACTATTGTCTACATGCGAATATTGATCCTTTTATATTTATGTTTTATTATCAAACTTTCACATAGAAAAATGCAGATGTTACATAACAAACTCGATGACTTCTAATCCAGTTACCTCTCTGGCGTGGGTTCGATCCCCGGGAGATTCTTTGGTAGATTAGCGCGGAGTAAGGTAGTCTAGTACTGGTGTAACTCTCCAGGAACAATGGATAGGAAACTACCTGCCTATATGACTGAAATACTGTTGGGAAAAGGCGTAAAATGAAACAAACAAACAAACATAACAAACTAAAGCCAAAAGGGTAACTGAACTGATTAAGCTATCTGTAGGTGGCTTGGAATGATGCATTTCTAGTAAGTTAATGACTGTTATACGAATATTTCAGTGATGACATGGTCCTTCTAGATTATTGATTCCAGTACATTTGGTGTTGAATACAGCTTAAGCCGGTGCTAGGGAGCGTGTAAGATGGTGCACTTTTGGATCACAGATTTTCAGATTTTTGCGAATATGATGTCCAGGAAGTAGCTATTATTGTCATTTGTGTGACTTTAAAAATTGCCCATCCGCACAAAACTATTTCATATTTTATGTAATTAACAAAGTAGTCAATTTTATATTGATAGTAGTAAACTATTAAAAATCGATATGCGGTGTTGGTTTGTGGTTTGTACCCCACCGGGAAATGATATATGAAGACGCTTGTTTTCCACTTAACTATGTTATTAGTGATTTATAATGGACATTAAAAAGATAACGTTCGTTTGTATTTCAAATGTTATTATCAAAACAATTCATTTTTAATTGTGGTTTTTCGATAAATTTAGTAAGAACTTTAATACTTCCTTTATTAAACTACAGGTACTGGGTTAATAATACATTAACTATACGAAACAACTTAAAAACTCTCAAAATAGTCACTAAGAAACTTTTTCTTCAATGTAAGCGCTAAAATACATATTTTTTTCTTTCGTAAAATCTTCCTAGTTATATACAATCAATTTGAAATCGGAATTTGCTGTACTAGACTGTTTGACGGACCGTGTATGACCGTGTGTTTGACGGACCGTGCATGACCGTGTGTTTGACGGACCGTGTATGACCGTGTGTTTGACGGACCGTGTATGACCGTGTGTTCGACGGACCGTGTATGACCGTGTGTTTGACGGACCGTGTATTGACCGTGTGTTCGACGGACCGTGTATGACCGTGTGTTCGACGAACCGTGTATGACCGTGTGTTTGACGGACCGTGTATGACCGTGTGTTCGACGGACCGTGTATGACCGTGTGTTCGACGAACCGTGTATGACCGTGTGTTTGACGGACCGTGTATGACCGTGTGTTTGACGGACCGTGCATGATCGTGTGTTTGACGGACCGTGTATGACCGTGTGTTCGACGGACCGTGTATGCCCGTGTGTTTGACGGACCGTGTATGACCGTGTGTTTGACGGACCGTGCATGACCGTGTGTTTGACGGACCGTGTATGACCGTGTGTTCGACGACCGTGTGTTCGACGAACCGTGTATGACCGTGTGTTTGACGGACCGTGTATGACCGTGTGTTTGACGGACCGTGTATGTCCGTGTGTTTGACGGACCGTGTATTTCGAAGATAACATATTGTCATGAAACATAAAACAGCCTGTCAGTGTGAATCAGTATTAAAGAATTCTTGACATCCGGCCAAAATAACATTAAAATGATCGTTTCGTAAAGGTATGTCGTTATAATATAATCTATTAATGGAAATCCCAACCCGAGAGTGACCACGAGCCTTGGCACATGTAGTCTTTTGTTGTTAAAATTGGAGTAAATATCGCGTTTGTGTAGGAATACGTAAAGATTTGATGTGCGTGAAGTGTGATATAGCGCATGTGACATTAAATTTTCCAGAAACGCCGCTATTCTTAGTAACATTTACGGATGTTTCCTATCCAGTTAAAAAAATATCGGCTGGTAATGTCCATAGAATACTCTAATACGGTAATCAGAACGTTGGTACATTTATTTTATTATTATAAAGCACTAATTAGTGTGTAACAGCAACACCATAATATATTATAACATCTGATTAGACATTTTAAGGTTCGTTATAAAAAAATATATCATCCTAAAACATTATAAATCAGACATATAAGATAACAAGCAAAATAAAGTATGATGATTAGCAATAAAAGGACGCGATAGGGTATGATAATCCTAAACAATGACGAGAATTTAGGTGGAATATTTACGTCTATATGAGGGAAAGGGTTAAGAAGCAAAGAAAATGTCCTTCTGTTTTAAAGACAACTGATTTCTAATTATGTTTCCAAAATAATGTGCTAAGATAACAAGAAAATCATTGAGTACAAAATTTTTGAAACACACATTAGACATTTTTAAAACAATATACAATGTATTTTCAATATAAACTATGGATATTTATCTTAACTATATTCTTCTAGTTGATCATGATTTAGAATATGAATATTCTGAAATGACCAATATTACTGAGTGAATCAAAACTGATATATAGAGGATATTGAACGAGTATAAGTTTAATACTGAATTTATTGGATGAGTTGGCTAGAAATTTATTATGCGAGCCTCTGGTATGCATAATATAATTTCATTGAACGAGTTCAATGACTTTAGTAATGAAAATACGTGAATATATCAATATTCAGTTTATCACATAATTATCCATGTTAAAGGTAAACGTGGATATAATATATCAATATTCAATTTATCACATTTCCATGTTAACGGTAAACGTGGATATAATATATCAATATTCAGTTTATCATTTATCACTGTTAACGGTCAAAATGAACCACTTTTCATTGATGTCGCAAAAACAGCAAGTATGACATGAATTTCTGATACCTTGTACATCTTGATCAGGCTGTTTTCTAACAAAATGACTTCCATTTTTTAGGGATTTGTTTGAAAAAGATTCGAAGCTAGTTGATCTTGAATTCTGATGTTCATGAAGTTTTCGAAATAATGTTACACCGGGTTTATTTAATGCAATTTATTTTATTTATTATTTTTTCTCGCACAACTTCATCATTTTCTTTTTGTCACTTTCATGCATGTATTATCTTTCTTTTCATTTCTGCTAATTGTCCGACTTAATAGATAGACTTAATAGATATTTGTATAATACGAAAAATGACGAAGCATCCCGAGTTTTGGCGAGGCATGGCGGTTATATTACCTTAATTGGTTTTACGATATTGTACATGTAGAGTGTTTGATCAAATCAAATATTGTTCAATTTATATATTTCTCACGGGAATTATATCAAAATTGTTGCCTTTAATGATTCATTGGTAAATTTTGGCTTGGCAATTTCTCATTGTTTCTAATTCATTGTATGTAGCATAAAATAAACGTTTATGGAGATGTTTAGAAGAGTAATTTCCGAAAAATATTTCACATGAAGGGTTGAAAATTGAAAATGTTGAAACGTCGCGAAGTCACTTAAAAATGCATGAAATTTCATTTTGGTGTTATTGGAAGTTAAAGTAACTGATAAGATGTCTTAAAAAAAGAAAGGTTTATTGGCTGAATAGTATAATTAGACTTACTCTGGAATTGAGAATATTTAGGTTTTCCAAGATACTAACGTAGGTTCAAACAAATTTAATAGTAACAGCTTCGAAAATAAGCGAAACAGGTACCGCGAAGCTATAAAGGTAAAAGTTAATTTGTACCTACAGATTAGCTCGGAAAACCTGCTTTGCCGAGTTCCGGATAATGTCTATTAAATTGACATTCTGTAGTCCTTGGGGTTTGGGGAACATTCTGTGATTTATATTATACATAAATACATCATCAAACAATCCATTTTAACAAATTGGATCATTTACTATTATTGAATGGTTAATAACTTGAGTACATACATGTCTCATACTACCAAAACATTTGATTTCTACTTCTGTTGGTACTAGCGCACTTTTCTTTGAAATAGTGTAATCAATTTAGACCTAATATATTTTGCATAAGTATTGAACGAAGATATATCATTTAGTTATATAAGTTGCCGACAGGATATACGGGAGAATAAAGCATGAAAGAGATCGATCCAGGAAAACTCGTCAATAACTTGTATAACGAATTATATTAATTCAAATTCTCATTGATATATTTCATCATGAAGTGAAAAAAAATAATAACTCTACTTTTTAACGCATATTATACAGTTATTGACATGTGAACTGTTAAATATGATGTAATCAACACCAGCAGAATGTAATATATTATATAATTAAAGCCTTAATTTCTCAAATGTAACACAGAATGGGAGAATATTATTTTATGCCTAGTTGGTAAAGAAAAATAGGAACCTTTGACTGTGATAGTCGAAGAAAACACGAATAGAGAATTGACGTCAGACGTCCAGTGACTACGTGAACGTTATGTAACTAGAGCAATTTAAGTATAAAGTGTTCACTGTTTATACGTCACGGTATACAAAGCGTGTAAACCAATTAAAATTCGAGAAATTCATTTGCATTATTACAATGACAGATGTTTGTGTCGTTTATATAAATGAAATGTGGAAGATGAAAAAAACTTACTCAAACGTCACGAAATAACACACATTCGATAGTTGTGACTGGAACATGATATACTGTATATAAGATTTCATGACAGATTTATTACGGAATTCATTGAACTGTTTTAATAAAATGACTGGAGGTTTTCATAAAAGTTATTTGTTTGTTTGTTTCATTTTACGACTTATTCCAACAGTATTTCAGCCATATAGGCGGGAAGTTTGCTAACCATCGTTCCTGGAGAGTTACACCAGTACTAGACTACCTTCCTCCGCGCTAAACTACCAAAGCATCTTCCGAGGATCGAACCCACGCCAGGGAGGTAATGCTGTGTTCTCACCGCCGATCAGATCAACTCGATCAAGCACGATCAAGCGATCGGGTAAAGGTCTAGCTCGGTCTGCATGCATGCTCGGGGTGGTCGGAGCGGTCTACCTTGGTCGACATTGCTCAGACTTCCTACCCGAATTTTTTTTGACATGTCAAAAAAATTTGAGTAGCGATCGAGTAGATAAGCGGTCGAGAAGCGATCGTATAGTGATCGAGTAGAAGATCTAGTTGATCGAGAATAAATCGTGTAACCATCTAGTTTGATCGAATATACATCTCTTACCCGATCTTAACACGATCATCTCGACTTCTACTCGAGCATTATCCGATCTGGTCGGGTGGAAATCTAGCAACGATCGAGCAGAGGTCCAGTTAGTCTAGTTGAGATCGTGTATGATTCGCGTATAGGTCTGGGTGATCGAGAAGATGTCGGGATGTTGGTCGGGTTGTCGTCGAGAAGAAGTCGTAAAACATCGTGTAGGGTCGACTTGAGAGGTCGTGTAAGAGTCGTGAATGTACATTTAATCAAGCTTGGTCGGGCTTCATCGGGGAATAAATGTGATCGGGACGATCAAGTTAATCTGATCGGCGGTGAGAACTTAGCACAACTGGATTAGAAGTCATCGACTCTAACCCCTCGACCACGGAGGTGGTTTAATATTTTACACGTTCAGTAAACTCCATGTCTTGTATCATAGTTCGGAGACCTTTCTGTTGAAAATGTGTCAGGGTTAAATCGTATACATATACATGCACAGTGCGTTAACTGGAGTGCGGGTATTAGTTACCCGCACTCCAGAGCATGCCCATTGATTTGCTCATTTTTTGCTGGGGTTTACATATTGTGACGGCAGAGAAAGGGAAAGCGACAGAAATGTCATATTCAGATGTTCGTTCATTGGTTCATTTTTGCCGGGGTTTCATATTATGACAACAGGGAACGTGCTTTTATGTTTTACTATGATACAAAAGAGAAAGAACACCAAAACACTCGGCAATCTGTTTTATACTCGGGGGCTACGCCCCCTCGTACAAATCAGATAGCCTCGTGTTTCGGTGCTCTTTCTATTACTTGTATCTTTACAGCATATTTGTCCCAAGTTTTGATCTCTCGAAAAGGGAACTTATTTCATAATTTAATTTTATACGATACAAACGCCTCTTTTTGTGGTATTTATTTTTGTAATGTAAAATTCAAAGTTTTTTTCATTACAGTTACAGTTTCAAAAAATGTTTTTATTGTATCTTTCTATCTTAAAATATTCTCATTCAAAGTTATTTAAACTATAACATAAAACTGCTCAGCAAAACTACTGAGATAAATCAGCCAGTTACCATTGCCGAACAGAAATGGTATAATTCTTTTTATCATAAAATTAAATCAAAAGATTTTACGTCTGTTGTCCTGATATAATTTCAAAAACGTTTTCATTTGCCAATAACTTGAACCATTTTTTGCTTTTTGGCAATTAGTACGATTATAATATTTTATATGGAAGTCAAAATACTGCTTCGTTTAAACTTTGCTACTTTAGTGACACATAATTTCATATTCAGGGCTACATTCGTAAGTGATAAGCCTCTAACAGACTCTAAAATCATTATTTATTAAAACGTTACAAAACTCATGTTTGCCTTTCCTAGAGAAAAATATATTTGAGCCGCGCCATGACAAAACCAACATAATGGGTTTGCGACCAGCATGGATGTCATCCGCATCCGCGCAGACTGATCAGGATCCATGCTGTTCACTATCAGTTTCTCTACTTGTTATACAGTTTGTAAGCGAACAGCATGGATCCTGATCAGACTGCGCGGATGCGCAGGCTGGTCTGGATCCATGCTGGTCGCAAACCCATTATGTTGGGTTTGTCGTGGTGCGGCTCATTTATTCGTTTCTGAAAAATAATGTGCTGTTACACAATATATTTATGATCGCCAACAGTATGTATTAGAAAAATATAAACCAGTAAACATTAATTTAAACATGTTTGGAAATCATTAACAAGCTTAACAAATTGTAATGACAGCGTTTATATAATATCAAATGTTCATTAACAAGGAAATAATTAAAGTACTGCTGTATTGCTGAAGTACATAAAGTTATTCATTAATGACTTTTTAGTTATGTAGTGATTCTTTATTACTGATAGCACTTTGTGAAGCAATACTTTACAGAATTAATATGAAATATTCATCAGATCTAATAGCATAGTTAACATTTTAATAAAAAATTCAATATCATATTCATTTATTCTCAAAGCAGACAAATCAACGATATTCTTTATGGCATTGACATTTTGGAAGTCAATGTTTACACAGGAAAATGTATTAAGTCAACTTAAAGCTTTTAGATACAAAATAACATGTGTAATATGATTTAGATTGCGCATATAGCGCGTCAAAACATACATGTATATAAACGCGACATATATTCTAAAATAAACTATTTTTTCTGACAAAATAAACAAATATTAATGTAAAATTAATAAGGTAAATGTCATTTGATCATTTTCCATAGCATCAAGGTACATGTGAACTTCTTCAGTCTAATAGAGAACATTTTTTTAAATAAAATTAAAAAGAATTATATTATATAATATAATCTTACCGTTTTTGATTCCTGGCTTTGGTTAGAAATTAAACTCATGCGACTGGAACCATTCCTTCGTCGCCAAAACTTCGCTTTACCTCCCGACATGTTCTGCAATTTAATCATAGACACAACTGACATTAAATTAGTATCACTTTCATTCTTCCGCACGCGCTTCGAATTTTTTTTAAATCCCATGTTGTATAAGGGCTTAAAAATTGAGTCACACCCTTTCTATATATAGATATAAGAGCATTTGATTCTCGTGTAAATCGAGATTAATTCACTCTTCTTTTTTCAATGCATATACATGAACAGAAATACATAAATCCTGATAAAAACATCATATTGTCACGGAGGTTAAGTACTTGCATTCATTAGTTTTTTCTCTTCCTTGATTTTATTTTCTTCAATATCAAGTTGCACGTGTTTCCCATTTTGCTAGTTGCACCTCAATCCATGAATAACACAGATAATCCTAGGTTTTGATATAAACTGCTCGTTTCTCTAATTCATGGCAATACATGTGCTTATATAAATGATTTATCTCTATAAATGGTATAGTTCTATGGTTTAAAGAAAGCTATTACCAGAAACACATTATCGCTAATTAACTAACACCTGTGTCCAATAATACAGTAAAACACATGTCAAATCATTCAAAAATATCAAATTTCCTTCTAAGCAGACAATTTTATGTTTTAATCCGGAAATAATATGGTTTGTTTGCTGATATATCCATAATTGCCTAGAATCAATCATACTCCATTTTTGACTTCTCTTTGTATTTTTGGCATCTCTACTACTCTGATATCTGGTATAAATGTCAATGTATTAAACATGTATATCAAATACACTTGTTATAAGTTAAATAACACGGTGTGAACATGTACACGGTCTCTAATGACTGTTAAACGTTATTATTTTTAATGGTGCGCAAATCCTTTGTTATTTGAATGTTCTGATTTTAGAAATAGAAAGTCACGTGACTCGAATGATGCTCTTCCCTGTTATAAAACTTGGACACAGAGAGAGGTAAACAGATTTTTGAGCGAGATAAGGCGCGAGTTATCGTCAAACAGTTATAATAATTCAATATTTCTGTCTGTTATGTTTAGAAAAATCAGAAATTACAGATCACGGCTGATACTCTACAAGCGTTCATTTACTGTAATCAATGCCCTTATTACCATGGGAATACACACTTTAACATTTACAAATCGTTCGTTTTTCACAGGTGTAGTCACCGGAAAAGTCAAGTTACTCTGTAATACTGTACACGTAAATTTCTCAGGCTTGTGAACGATGCCTTTTATGGTACGGTTCGTGTAATTATGGTCCTCCAAAAATACCGATCTGGCATATATATGAACAAAGTGTTGGAAAAGTAATTAATGCGGTATGTATAATAAGTCCGCTGAATCAAATTTATAAAGTTGAATGAAACCATATGTTTAATCATGTAAATCCAGACATCAGCTTTGTAAAAGACTGCTTCCTTTTCTATTTTACACTTGGTCTAAATTACAAGTACATACAAGTTCGAGTGTGTAAGATCAATTTGTAAGAAACGTTCGAAAGATTTTTATTATTTCGTTACATATTATAAAAGGATTATAAATGTTATTCATGATAAATTAAAAAAAAACAATGACTTCACTATCTGAGGTGATATTTTCTAAAAGGTTTCTGGGTAAAACTAAAACATGGTATCGTTTATGCAATTATATCTTTAATAAGTTTATGTCTCGGGTATTAATACGGAGACGCGTAGTAATATTCGTGTTCGACACTCAGTTTTTAGTAAATATCACCTATTTTGTGTGGGTTTTCATGGGGTTTTGATTATACCTATGAAGTAAAATATAAAACTGAAAACAACTATGGCAAAATGTGAATTTATTTTTGCCTTTAGCCTGTACACTCACCATTTACTCTGGTTGACTATAATGTCATTTTAACAAGGCATCTTCAACAATAAGTCATCTGTCAGTTCACTAGTCATTTATATTTATACAGAAAGCAAGATTAATCACGTATCTTCCTACGATATAGAAATCAAAATATTCATTGATCAACAATAGCTGAGTGAGTGACAAGATATGGTTCAACTTTAATTTCATAAGGTAAACAAACAATTATGTGAAAGAGTCTTAGAAACCAAAAACATGCGGAGGTTTCATTTAAGTTCTCTCCCCTTTATTATGTTGCTAATAGCTTGTCATCACTTTTCACCACATCGGAAAGCTAATTGTAGCATAAATGTGCAACTCATGCTGTCATCAGCGTTTGTCGTTGAAAAATGTGTGAATTTCGTTGAGGAGGTAACTAAGTGGGACGAGTAATGAAAAAAAAACCTTCATAACATGAAATGAACAAATTTTCAGGTGGTTCAAATTCAGTTGTAAGGAAGCAGATCAGTTACTACTTCACACAACAGACTAGATTTAAATGTTTCACAGAATACAACTTATTACATTTGCGCATGCAATAAATCGGGAAGAAATATTATTATACAATAATTTAATAAAATTAATATACCACATACTTATTGTGCAGTTTGTAAAAACCTAGGATTAAGGAAGCCCAAATGCTTATTTCCAATGGGGGTCCATAAATAATGAAAATTATTTATACATGCTGATATAGCAGAAGAAAAAGAAAAAGTACACAGCATAAATAAGGACATTGTGTACCAAAACATGTTAAGGACTTGGAAATTACTATACATGTATATACTTCTATAGCATATAAATGTGTTTCCATAATAACTAGAAATCCATCAATTAACATAGTTGTTAATAGATGGTTAATTATGGAGTTATTATACATTGTTGAGTACAATATTGAATCTATTGAACATGGTACACAGCTGATACAAGGCGCTAATATATATGTGTATAGTTCAAGAGAATCAGTATTGTACTTAACAATGTACAATGACAGCTTTATTTCCTAACACGAAATAAGATACATTTCGGGATAACTTTATTTCTTCAAGTACAACAAGGATTTCTAATTATACGAATTTTGGAATCTGGAAAATGAGGGCGAGACTAAAAGGATTACAATAGTGATTTGATATTGATTTTTTGGACTGGCAGGAGAAAACAAGGTAATATTGAAAAGTGATATATATTGCGAGACCACATGGTGCAATCTCTCGATGTATGTTTATTGGTTGTGAAATAAATCGAATTATTGTCAATAAATATATATTATTTCTTGGTATGACTTAAACTGTTACTGTTCTTAATATCAATAATATTTTAAGTTAAAGTCATTTGACCATGTGTCCATGTAGTTTCATCCTTTGTGTGAAAACTTTCTGGTACATCAGTGAAAGGAAGACTTAAATTATAATTGATTATTATTATAATACCTCATTATCAGTATATACTGTTTGAAAAAAATCCTGGATGGAACAAACATTGCACGAACAAAATCCTGCACAGAACTTGACAAAGATTTTTAAATATATATACATGTATATATATAATTTACTATGGCTGACTTTGAACAAAACTATGCGATGCGTTACATTGCGTTCCAATTGCCTTTCAAGGATTGTCATTTCCCTTCTTTCAAGTGATCATTTTGAAATTTCCAAATTATTTTCAGCGGTTACTATTTTGATGTAATGTAGTGGTTCATCTTCTAACTTCTATGACGCATCGTGAAAACTTGGAAGAATTTCTATCTTGTTATTTGAATATTACGATTTTCGGAAATATTATACCTTACATAAATGCATTCCTTTTTTATTTAAATGTTAACTGTGTACAGGAATTTAAAAAAAAACAATATTAATAATTAATAACGTATGAAGTATGATGTCAGCGGTAAAACTTTCAGTATAAAAGCTGTCTGTAAATTTTACTTGTTGAAATGTTGTAAAGCAATATGACTTCTTTACCCGTAAAACTATCGCAATTTTGTTCTAGTGCAGTTCGGTATATTTTAAGATGAGTACATAGTGTTTCGGACTACCCAGAGTTCAATCTTCCATACAGTCCCAGACATTAAACAGACCTCTGCCAACGGCTTGAACAGTCCGATTAATGTTTTGTGGATGACTTCAATGTAATATTAGGATGGCCTCGATGCAATGTACGTTTTATAATAGATTATGAATCTATACAACATGCAAAAATATAATTACATACATGTATGTTATTTTATTCGTTACAAAAGCTTTGCCTGATAAATAGTTTGATATTAAATGAAATGCAGACTACATCTATTTATAGAAAATCATATTTGCTTCGTGTTTTCATAATTTACATGCAAAAACCATTTATACATGTCATTTACAGACTTAAAGGTGGAAACTATAAGCATTATTGTATTACAATTTATCACAGTCGAAGCAATGTAAAATAATAACTATATAATGATTATAACAAACATTTTCTTTTTGAGAAAGGAAAGATTCGATCGATGAGAGACGAGGCTAGCATTTGTTCACAGCTAAAGCAAACACAATCAGGTAATGAATCTAATGCAAGTTGTGATGAAACTTGAAACTCTCACGGCTTTCACAGTACAAAACAAGATTACGACTATCATAACAACAGGGAGACAGGGAGATAGAGAAAATAGGGTTTTGTTACCTTTTCATAATATTTACGTATATTGATATAAAAATAAGCATGCTTATTTACGTCCTCAAAAGAGATACATTTTGTCTGAGAAAATTTGCATTATTATCTTTTGACACAATTACCTTAGAAACAGCTCACACATTTTTGCAGTTTTTAAGTCCCAAGTAGTTTTAGTTTCAGGCAATAGCGTTAATAAATATAAACACTATGTTTTATCCCATTGCTATGAATCTGTTTCCCGTTGTCGTTTTTACAAATATGGATGTGCTGTATGTACCAGTAGTGTTTTTTTTTATATTTTTCTGGTCCTTCGGAATCATTGATTTCGGCACTGTTAAATGTTTAACATTGAGTACCGGTGCTAGGGGGCATAAGGGATGTTGCACTTTTTCATTATGTCTCATGTACAGACTCATTCAAACCATCTTATTTTGTTGTGATTAATGCTTTCGAGGGATCACCCGTTCTCCGACTTAATTCAAACACAATTAAAGTGACATTATCCGAACCAAGTGTAAATAGTGAGTGCAAATAACTTTACATTATTCCATAATCTTATTCAATTTCACAATTTATTATGGGAAAAACATCAATAATCCACGTGAGTCTAATTCAATTTTTAAAGAGTGGGCCGTGTTTTTATATTTTAGATAGTCTTTTTTATCTTAAAAATTTGATTATCAATCATTGGCCAATCACCATTATAACAGTCAATTTCTTGAAACATATTACTAATTAAAGTTAACTTGACCGCGACAAAATGACCATAATGTCACTTTAAAATTATAACAGCGAGAAAATGGCCCCGGGTGGATTCAACTGACTGATAATAAGGCAGGTTT